CCGCTTCAAAACTCTAATATTAACATTTAAATTAGTTATATTAATATGCCATATATGCATAGAGGATTAATTAGACAACTTAGTTGCACAATTTGAACTATTTTGTTTATTAACAAATAAAGAAAAAAAAATGATATAATAAAAAATAATTCATTTTACATCATTTGAAGAATATTAACCAGCCAAGTTTTCAGTTGTATATTTGTTTTTTTAAACGTTTAAAACTAAATTATAATTTACTTAAATTAGATGAATAACACACACAAAACTACAATTATGACCTGTAGGTCAAAAGATAACACGATAAAGATTAAAGCTAGACGATAGCCCATTTGACCGATTAGGTTAATTTAAAGTGTCGTTGATCCCATATCAATCGACTCAATCAATTGGCAAATGTAAATAGATAAATTGTAAATATATAATATGACGAAACGAAATATCGAAAACAAGACCCAATACGTTAAGTACCTATCACAGAATTCGACCTAGTTATTATGATTAAAATCTAAAAATTCTCACGAATCGGACCTGTGGCAATAATACTGAAAACTGGTTAAATTAACAGAAATTCAGATTTTACAATAAGAAATCCTAATTATTAACAAAAACTACACTTTAGTTGAATAATAATTGTGATTTAAATGCAAAGTGCAAACTGCACGACAACGCAGAAAGTGATAAGTGATATATATTGTTATTTTATACATTTAAAACTACATTTTAATTTACTTTAATAAGCTAAATAACACAAAACTACAAGTATCACTTGTAGGTAAGAAGCTAAGACGATAATGATAAAGTTAGACAGTAAACCGATTCCGTACCACTCGACTCAACTCTAATTAATAAAGAAGTTATAAACAAACACATATAGATTATTACCATTTTGTGTATTCACAAGAAATACTCTTAGTCAATGGAAAACAGAAAACACAGCAATATTGTAAATAAATTAAAAATACAAAACAGTAGGTACTCACTTACAAATTGTAGAATCGTACACAACAGAGAACTGTAAACACTGCTGTTCAGGCTACTACTAAAAACTTAATTAACAGGCAAGATAAAATACAATTGTAACGAAATAACGAAACACGACACAAACGTTAGGTATTTATCGCAGAATTCGACCAAGTTATTATGATTGAAATCTAGAGATGTTCACGAATCGGACAAAAATAAATATCAATTATTTACAAACAAAATAATTTGTATTTATACATAATAGTTTGGAGGTTAGGTTCAGATGCGTTCCCTAACCACCAAGACGCTTTGTTATTTATTTAAATATAACTGCTCGTATATTTAATGTGTACAGCACAATGTAATTAACAAGTTAGGTACAAGATTACAAGTAATTAACAAAAACAAGATTAAACAAAAGTAATTACCAAAATGTCTGCGTGGAAGAAAGACGCCGAGCGTGTAGACGAAGTCGTGCGAGATAATTGAATGGCGGACCGAAAATGGCAGCTGGCTACTAGCTGCCAATATATTAGAAATACAAAACGTTAGGTACTCACACAACATAGAAACGTTCACCACTGTCCAGGGCTGTTAATAAAAACTTATAATCAATGATTAACAGGCAAGAAAATTGTAACGCAAATATGTTAGGTATTTATCTCAAAACTCGACCGAGTAATTATTATGATTAAAAGCTAGAGATTTTCAAGAATCGGACCCGTTGCAACAATACAGAAAACAAATTGTACCTAAGGGCGGTAAGTCTAATTTAACTAGTTATTATTCACAGAAAGAAGAGAGTACAAACAGAAATGTCAATTATTAAACAAATCAAAACTCGTTCTAATAATAATTGTGATTTTATCATTTATTGCAAACTGCACGACAACGCACAAATGTTCTATACAAATCTGTGATAGTGTGATTGCCCAGTGTGAAGGTACACCACAGCGTGGAGGTAAACTGTCGTGCGTTTTAGGCGGCAAAAAAATCGAAATCTCAACTCTTGTTTCAAAGCTTGTTGTAAACTTACCTTCATTGACATCCTATAACATGTATTAATGCGTTTACCTAAGACTTTATCCGTTTTGGACACAACTTTCGCTAATTGTGTTAGAATACATAGGCCCCACGCTAGTAAAATAATATTTAATATTATAATAACAAAAAAAATAGTCGTTAAAGAAAGCCAGTACAGTTGGGCATAGTGGAGACTGGGATGTCACAGGTCTACAGGAATTGTTTTAACCGAAAGTGATATAATCACTTTTAAATAAACGCTTGACCACAGAATTTTGAGAAAATTGTACCGATATGTTTTACTTCCATTCTTGATCTACCTTCAGTCTAATTTTCAGAACTAAATCACTAAAAATTTGTTGAAAAAGTGAAATAAAGAAGAAATGTCTCTCCTTTTCACTTAAAGGTTTATGATATGTTTTTGTTTTGTCAATGTTTATCGGTAGTAGGTACTATGTTTAATGAACATTTCAGATTTGTGATTTGTGAAAAAATATTAAGATGTTCTAGTTTTACAATTGTTAAAGTTTCATGTTTCATGTTTCATCAAGGAATATTATTTTGACAAAAATCATTTGATAGCTCTCCTAACCTCTGTCAACTTGATGTCATGTTTTTTTCTGTTCAATATCTTACACAATGAAGTTCTCCCAAAGTATTATCAACAACCAAATCGTATAAAAAAATTAGTATTATAAATATATACCAAAGAATTGAAGAGCCATATCATTAAAAGTAATCATACTACAAAATTTGTATGTTTGCTTTCCTGCACTGTCTATTAATTTCCATTATCCTCCTTCTTTGTCATGTCTTTCACAATGAAATGTTCCTCCATCATTCACAAACACGAATAAGTCGTTTTTCATGTTAACAACACCTGCATTTAAAAATATTTATGAATAAAATAATGTGTAATATACTTACCTAATATACCTACTTGAACAAATATATACCGACTTGAGCAATCTCCATAACTTGACAACTCGTTCAGGTACTTTATGACCATTAACAAGATAAATTAGTAATTACGTTTTCTATAGTCGTATTATATATGTAGAGTATTCTACAGTCGCTAGAAAATTACCATTATCTCTACCAAACTACAAAAACAATAATACTACAATAATATTAAAACAATAATATTAAATTCACACGTACCATATAAACTCAGTAAATTGAATATTTTCTTTTTTTTTTGTTATACAAATTAAAATAAAATACAAGTAGAAACTTATTTAGTAGTTTTGCATGGTTTTTATGGTAAAGCTGTGTTTATTTACAATAAATAATTAATAACTGAATATTGTAGAGTTTCACAAGACTCGAACCTCGAACAGTGGGCATTGGTTCAATAATTTCTGTACTTTTTGGTATTTGTTTGGTTTAACAATGTTCATCGGTAATACTATAATTAAAGAATATTCCATACAAATTTGGAAAAAACTAATGTTTTTAAAAAAGTTATACCTAGAGCATCGTAATTTTAAGTTGAATAAAAAAAACATTTTAAAAAACATGCTTTTATAAAAAAAAAAAAATAGTGATAAGTGAACTAAAACGTAAAAAAAAATTTTTCCACCCCCTAGGGGGGGGGGGGGTACAAGTTTTTTTGTTTTTCGGAGTTTTAGCCGTAATTTTAAAACTTTTGGGATGAAAATTAGCCAGTAGTTGGAACTCATATGTATCCATAACATATTAAACGGGTGAAAAATTCGGCACTTCAGTTTTTTTTGTAATTGCCGGAAACTGTGTTTTCGCAGATTTCGTAAATTTCAACAAACACACCTACAATCTTTTAAAAAAATTGATGATATCATTAAAACAATTTTATGTATATCTATACAGAATGATACTATTAAGTTTTGTGCTCAAGTACCACTTTTAACTTACGTATACACAAATTCAATTTTTTTTTTAAACACAAGATTTAATAATTAAAAAATAACATTATATGGGTATATTTGTTTCTACCAACTAACATAAATACTAAATACATACACATGTATTCTGGTGGTTATGATTGTACAACCTTAGGTAACTTAATTAAGCAGTAAAATTAAACTACAAAACAATATAACAAGTTAAGTACACTGTTTTATAATGTGTAAAACATTTGGTTTAACTAAATACCTTGTGATCAGTTAAACGATAGTAATAATTTAAAAATTATAAGAAAACTAATACAAAAATATTCAATCTGAATAAAATTGTTCATAAAAAAAAATTGTAAAATAATTACAAATAGCTTTTGAAAAACTATTTTAAAACTACTAAATTGTCCATACGTGAGGTTTATGAGGTTATGAGCCATGTGCTTTTGCTTGATGTCTTTTGAGAGTATCTTGGCGAACATATGATTTATCACAGGCTAAGCATTTATATCGTACCCCACCAATTTGTATCCGTGCATGTCTCTTGAGATCAGATTGTTGACGAAATGTTTTTTGACAGACATCGCATTTAAACGGGTTTACTCTGGTATGTATGCGTTCATGAGCTTTTAGGTGATGTTCTCCACCAAACGCTTTTACACAGACAACGCATTTATAAGGTTTTTCACCAGTATGTATCCTTTCATGTTTTTTAAGACTTTGTTGTAGACTGAATGTTTTTTCACAGACATCGCACTTAAAAGATTTCTCGCCGGTATGTATCCGTGTACGATTCTTGAGATCAGATTGTTGAATAAAGGTTTTTTTACAGATATCGCATTTAAACGTTTTTTCGACGGTATGTGTGCGTTTATGAATTTTTAGGTGTTGTTGTGTACCAAATGTTTTTTCACAAAACTCGTATTTAAACGGTTTCTCGCCGGTATGAATACGTGCATGTGTCTTGAGAGCAGATTGTTGACTGAATGTTTTTTCACAGACATCGCATTTAAACGGTTTTTCGCCGGTATGAATACGTGCATGTTTTTTGAGATAAGATGGTTGACAGAATGTTTTTTCACAGACATTGCATTTATAGGGTTTCTAACCGATATGTATCCTTTTATGAATTTTTAGGTGTTGTTGTCTACCAAACGTTTTTTCACAGACATCGCATTTAAACGGTTTTTCGCCGGTATGAATACGTGCATGTTTTTTGAGATCAGATTGTTGAGTGAAGGTTTTTTCACAGACATTGCATTTATAGGGTTTTTCACCGGTATGAATACGTTCATGTCTCTTGAGATTAGATGGTTGAGAGAATGTTTTTTCACAGACAACGCATTTATAAGGTTTTTCACCAGTATGTATCCTTTTATGTTTTTTAATACTTTTTTGTAGACGGAATGTTTTTTCACAGACATCGCACTTAAAAGGTTTCTCGCCGGTATGTATTCGTGTATGATTCTTGAGTGAAGGTTTTTTTACAGATATCGCATTTAAACGGTTTTTCGACGGTATGTGTGTGTTTATGAATTTTTAGGTGTTGTTGTGTACGAAATGGTTTTTTACAGAAATCGCATTTAAACGGTTTCTCGCCGGTATGAATACGTGCATGGTTCTTGAGAGTAGATTGTTGACTGAATGTTTTTTCACAGACAACGCAATTATAAGGTTTTTCACCAGTATGTATCCTTTCATGTTTTTTAAGACTTTGTTGTAGACTGAATGTTTTTTCACAGACATCGCATTTAAACGGTTTCTCGCCGGTATGTATACGAGCATGTGACTTGAGAGCAGATTGTTGACTGAATGTTTTTTCACAGACATCGCATTTAAACGGTTTTTTGCCGGTATGAATACGTGCATGTTTTTTGAGATGAGATGGTTGACAGAATGTTTTTTCACAGACATTGCAATTATAGGGTTTCTCACCGGTGTGTATACGAGCATGTGACTTGAGAGCAGATTGTTGACTGAATGTTTTTTCACAGACATCGCACTTAAAAGGTTTTTCGCCGGTATGTATCCGTGTATGATCCTTGAGAGCAGATTGTTGACTGAATGTTTTGTCACAGACAACGCATTTATAAGGTTTTTCACCAGTATGTATCCTTTCATGTATTTTAAGACTTTGTTGTAGACAGAATGTTTTTTCACAGACATTGCATTTATAGGGTTTTTCGCCGGTGTGTATGCGTTCATGAGTTTTGAGGTGAGATATCTGACTAAATCTTTTTTCACAAATATTGCATTTAAAGGGGTTCACTCCGGTATGAACGCGCCAATGTTGTCTAAGGTATGATTTTGATGAACAACTTTTCAAACAAATACCACAATTAAATAAGCCATCTTTGTTTCGTGTATACTCTTTGATTCTGCTGTTACGATGATTGACTTTATTCTTTTGAGGCGCTTTTTTTTCACGGAAGTACTGGTATGCGATTTCGCAATATGCCGGATTATATTATTTTTGGCTGTAAACTTCCTTTGACATACATTGCAGTTGAACCGACGTAGTTTGTATATATTTTTCTCAGAATTATTTTTTATAGTTCCAATAAAACTACAATCCATATTTTTTGTATTATTCCAGGTATCGGTCGCTTTACACAAAATATGAATACTGCAACACATATGAAAAAAAATAGATTAATTTAAGATTAAAATTTCTAACATTGAAAACGGATCTAAAACCTGTATATTTAGAGCAAAAATTAATAATAAAAATTTTAAAAAATAAAGGTCTTATCATAGACCAAAAGAAAAAAAAAATTTTGAGGAGGTCAAGCCGATGACCGCGTGGTTTGACTCAAAATGCCCTATATATATATATATATCTATAAACAATGCAAACATACGCTAACATAATGTGGTACCGCAGACATTGACCAGACATCATAACCACAAAGAAATAATTTTTTTTTTTTGTTATTTTGATTTAACATTATAATTGTGAAAAAAATTGTGTGTATTGTTAAATACATTATAATACTCATCAACTCACTAATTAACAAAATCCAAAATAATATTCTACTGTATATTCAGGCTTTTATACATAAAAAGATCATTAAATTGGCCTGTTGTGTAAGCATAGAAGGTCTATTAGCTAAAAGAAGAGTAAAAATTTTTTTTGTTTTTTAAAAAAATTGAGGTCAGGCCGATGACTGCGTGGTTTGATTCAGAATGCCCTATATATATATATAACAGTAAGTGTTGTGCGAATATACACTAACATAATGTGGTACCGCAGACACTGACTGGTCATCATACCCACAAATATATAATTTTTTTTTTGGTATTTTGATTTAACATTATATTGATAAGAGTTAGATGAAGTTAAAATTAATTTATTAATTTATAAACAAGAGGTTCCTAATATAAGTTTTATGATAGCGAAACGCTAACATCGATACCAACGACGGGTTTAAAAAGGAGGTCAACATAATTACAAGTAGCTTTATATAGGATAAACATACCATAATGTAATATATTTCATTTTAAAAAATCTTACCATTTCTTTAAAAAATAAAACATAGAAGAAACGGCTTTTTAAACGACTCTCCCCTCTTAGTGTATAGTTTTTTTTATAATAGCGTGTATCTTAAACCCCAGAACTAATTATACTAATTTTTTTTTTACAACTGTTAAAATGAAGATATGTATAGATGTATAGATATATATATATATATAACACGGTATGTCTCGTGCGAATGTACGCTATCATAATGTGGTATTACAGTGTGATTTAACGTTAGATTGATAAGATGAAGATGTAGTTTTAGAACAATCTATTATTAAATGAACAAGTAGTTCCTAAAACAAGTTGAATAACAAAATGCTAACATCGATAAAAACAATGGGTGTATAGAAGAGGACAACATAATTACAAGTTAATAGTTTCATATAGGATAAAAAATAAATGGCAATAAAAATCGCCTTACTCATAACTATTGTCGACTTCATTCTTTACCAAATACTCCTCTGTTGTAGAAATTTCATTGTTTATGAGCTGCACATCTAGCGGTTTAGGTTCAATGACTTCAAACAATTTTTCAAAAGAGTGATCTTCTGATTCGTCATTTTCTTGCTTTAAAGCTCTATAATTGAAATTTAACATCAGTAATAATTCTTTACATGTGTAGGATTATTAGGAAGACTTAACTACAATTTTAACGATTGTTTTTTAAATATTAAAAACTATTTGAATTTACCTTAATTAGATAAATAACACAAGCCTACAAGTATGACTTGTAGGTAAAAAGCTAACACAATAAAGATCAAAGCTAGGCGATAGCCCATTTGACCAACTAAATCCTTACTCATTGTATATATATTTAACTGAAATTTTATTTACCAAACAATTATTTTAAAAGAGTATATAATATACTAAACATCTTAACTTATCGTTAACAAGTAAAATAATATCAAATGTAAAGGGCTAGTGGATTAAGTTATTCAAGGAAAGCTTATATTTCTCTTTACTTTTTACAACGTCTTTATAGCATCAAAAACTACGACGGGTGTTTAGAACTGGACAACATAATTACAAGTTAATAGTTTCATTTAGGATAAAAAATAAATCGTAAAAATCGCCTTACCCATAAGTATTGTCGTCTTCATTCTTTACTAAATACTCCTCTGTTGTAGAAATTTCATTGTTTATGAACTGCACATCTAGCGGTTTAGGTTCAATGACTTCAGGCGTTTTTTCAAAAGAGTGTTCTTCTGTTCCATCATTTTTATGTTTAATTTTCAACATATTATACTGCTTCAAAATTCTATAATTGACATTTAACATTAGTTAAATTTCTGTGCCATATATGCATCGAGGTTTAATAGGACAACTTCACTACACAATTATAACTATTTTATTGAGTAACAAATTAGGTAGGAATAATGATATAATAAAGAAAATTTTAGTTAACAATATTTGAAAAATAAAAGCCAAAAAAGTTTTGAGAGATATATTTTGTTTTTTTAAACTTTTAATCTTAGATTTCAATTTACTTAAATTAGACAAATAACACAAAACTACAAGTATGACTTGTAGGTAAGACGCTAACACGATAAAGATTAAAGCTGAACACCTATAGATGTTTATGATTCTATTTATTCACAAACAGTATGTTAAGTCAACAGGAGACAGAAAACACGGCAATAATGTAATTAAATTCAAAATACATAATAGTAGGTACTCACACAACATAAAACTGTAAACGGGTGTTCAAGGCTGCTACTAAAAACTTAAAATAATTAACAAGCAAAACAAAACTCAATTGTAATGCAAATTGAAACGAAATAAAGAAACATGAGGCACTACGTTAGGTATTTATCACTGAATTCGACCAAGTTATTATGATTAAAAACTAGAAATTCTCATGAATCAGAGACGGGCATCAATACCGAAAACAAGTTATACCTATGTCCTATTGCAAAAATCGAATCTAACTATTTATAATTCACAGAAATTCAGAGTGTACAAAAAGAAATATAAATTATTAACAAAAACAAAACTTGTAAATTGTGATTTTAATGCAAAATGAATGACAACATAGAAATGTTCTAGACAGATTTGTGATAGCGTGTGTTTGTGTGATAACGATTGATTGCCACAAATGGAGGTACTTCACAGCGTGGAGGTAAACTGCCGTGCGTTTTAGGCGGCAAAAAAATCAAAATCTCAACTCGTTTCAAAGCTTGTTGTAAACTTACCTTCATTGACATCCTATAACTTGTATTAATGCGTTTACCTAAGACTTTATCCGTTTCGCACACATCTTTCGCTAATTGTGTTAGAACACATAGGCCCCACACTAGTAAAATAATATTTAATATTATAATAACAAAAAAAATAGTTTATAAGAAAGCCAATGATTTGACATTCCATGCCAAATCACCCGATGTGGGTGCAAGTGGATTTTTGAAATGCCTCAAACTTACATATTATGCTATCCAGATAGTTCCATAAAATCAGTAAACTGAAGAAAAATATGTTTTAACATTTTTTTTGCCATATTTAACAATTTGATGTGAAAACACATTAAGTTCACGATCACGTTACTTAATGAATTTTTAATTTATGTTTTAAAAAGTTATAGGTTCTTAAATATATCACTTTTTAGTGAAATTCCATACTTTAAGGTTACATATAGATAAAAAAAAAAAATGTTAAAAATAAGTCACGAATCAAACAAGTATATTATGATGGATCAGGAAAAAATGTTAAATTTTGATTTTAAGTTAGAAACAACAATAAATGAAATTAATAAAACGTATAATTTGTTTTTTAATTTTTAAGTACTTAAAAACTTTTAACTTGTCCAAAAAATAAATGTAATCATAATTGTTGAAATAATAATACATTTAAATTATTATATAAGAAACCTTCCAAATTTTACACATGCAATTTTATAAAGTATGTTTTTGTAAGATTTTAGTTTAAATTTATTTAAAAATTCAAAATAAAATGCATTATTATTTCGACAATATTATGATAACAATTAAATGATTTCTAATAAAATATAATTCTTCACTGTATTTATATCCGTTATTATCCAATAAATCATTTTTTTGTTTTATTATATTTATTTTATCTGATAAATGAATGGTCGCATCGAATGGTACTACGAAAGTTAATAACATTATTATATTAAACATTTATCAATCAAACGGAAAGCCCAAAATGTTACAGACACAATTAATACGATCTTCGAAACAACTAGTTCTTATACATTTTAAATAACGCATCAGTTTGTTTAAAAATCAAAGATAACAATCAATTTAAATATTATAATGTATACATTTATAAAATATTAAAAGCTGTTGAATAGTTTTCCACTAGTTTTACTTCATACTTTTTACAAAATATTTTAATTCTATACTTATAAAATGTTTATTAATTTAACACATCATCCAATTTGTTTGGTTAAAAACCTAACATTTAAACTTCTTCCAAACAGCATATTTTAATTTAAATAAATTATCATCTTTTTTTTTTTGTATGACAATCAGTATTTACTTATTATTTTTTTTAATAAACAATCCACCTCTGCTATATAATTCTACAAGATAGAAAATAATTTTAGTTCCAATAAAAGTATTTAAGATGTAATGACGAATTGAGATTTTATCCGATGGATACGATTCACTGGTATGCCAGATTTGCACAAATGTTATTTACTATCATAAGATGAAAAAAATAACTTTCTTTGCATCCTCCGGTTAACTTATAAATAAAACTGATTATAACAAATTAGAAGTGTTACACAGCTGCAGCTGTACAATATTATGTAGAAATTTTAACACTTAAGATTTAATAATTAAAAAATAACATGATAAGTGAATACCATATCATTTCAGAGTAACATTATTTATATCATCATATCATGGCAAAAATAATTTAATTGCTCTCTTTGTCAACCAGATGCTCTGTTTTTGTTCTGTGTCATATCTTTCACAATGAGGATCTCCTAAAGAATTACAAATACGAACAAATCATCAATAATGAAATGTGTATAATACTTTTAAAAACTAGTTTAATTCATTAATTATTAGTTATAAGTAAGTAGATCACTTAAGCATGTAAGAAAACTTAAAAAAATAAATCTATTAAACAGTAGTGTTCTGAACTTATTTTTAAATGTTTTATAGTTGTAAGCTGTAGAAAGTAAACTAAACATAATTATCTAAAAAAAAAACTATAAAAAAAACTAATAAATACATACACATGTATTCTATTAGTAATGTTTGTACAATCTTAAGTTACTTAATTATAGAGTAACACTAAACTGCTAAATTATATAACAATTATATAATAATTATATATGGTCTGCAGAGAACAGCCCAAAATAATAAAAGAAGAAAGTTTTTATTTTCAAATAAAATTACATGACATACCTAAATCGATTATATTGTGTTAAATAATATTAATATTATTTATTAATGTATTCTGTTAGCAATGCTTGTACAATCTTAATTTACTCAATTTAACAGTACAATTAAACTGCCAAGTTATATAAAATGTTGAGTATACGCAAAACACGTATAAAACACATTGGTTTTACTAAATGTCTTTGTGCAAGTGTATAATTTAATGATCAGTTAAACAATAGTAGAAATTAAAAAATTATAAGAAAACTAATACAAAAACATTCAGTCTGAATTAAATCGTTCATATAAAAAAAAATGTAAAATAATTACAAATTTATTTTGAAAAACTATTCTAAAACAGCCAAATTGTCCATACGTGAGGTTCATGAGGTTATGAGCCATGTGCTTTTGCTTGATGCCTTTTAAGAGCATCTTGGAGGCTATATGATTTATCACAAGCTGAGCATTTGTGTCGTACCCCACCAATATGTATCCGTACATGTCTCTTGAGATCAGATTGTTGAATGAAGGTTTTTTTTTACAAATATCGCATTTAAACGGTTTTTCGACGGTATGTGTGCGTTTATGAATTTTTAGGTGATGTTGTCTACGAAATGTTTTTTCATATATATCGCATTTAAAGGGTTTCTCTCCGGTATGTATACGTGCATGTCTCTTGAGATCAGACAGTTGAATGAATGTTTTTTCACAGACATTGCACTTAAATGGTTTCTCGCCGGTATGTATGCGTTCATGAGTTTCGAGGTGAGATATCTGACCAAATCTTTTTTCACAGATATTGCATTTAAAGGATTTCTCTCCGGTATTAGCGCGCCATTGTCTTCTCAGGTTTGATTTTGATAAAAAACTATTTTAACAAATACCACAATTAAATAAGCCATCTTTGTTTCGATTATGCCCTTTGACTCTGCTGTTACGTTGATTAACTTTATTTTTTTGAGGAGCTTTCGACCTGACGTATTTTGTATATATTTTTCTTAGAATGACTTTTTATAGTTTCAATAAAACTACAATCCATATTTTTTTTATTATTCCAGGTATCGGTCGCTTTACACGAAATATGAATACTTTTTCTTTTTATTAGCCTTTATTAATAACGTTAATAAATAATCAGAGATTATTGACTGGAGGTCACAGACATCGTATTTATGGGGTTTTCCTCCGGTACTAATAAAAAGATACATACCCGAGAAAAACCCCAAAAATGCAAGGTCTGTGAATACAATTTTTCTTCCTTTCTTTATTTTTTTAATTTTACTATGGAAAATGTATTTTTACTTAATTAGACATTTAAATGATGTAGACTATAAGTAATTTTTCTTTTTTTCCCTTAATGATTATGCTTCGACCTTTAGGCCATACATTTTTTTATCCTAATTAAAACTATTAACTTTATAATTATGTTTTCCTCCTCCTCTATAAACCTGTCGTTGCTATCGATGTAGCTTTCCATTACCTAACATTAAATTTATGTTAGGAACCACTTGTTCAAATAATTGTTTTTTTTTATTAGCCTTTTTAATAAAAAATATTTGACTCAACAATTAAGACAGTAATAATGAGTAAAATGTAAATGTATGGATACATTATTAGTAATAACATGATTTCAATGATAATTATAAAATGATAAAAAACAAACAAAAAGAAGAAAAACAACGAGTACATACAAAAAAACTAAATAAAATAATACTCAAAAGTAGATTTCGACATGTCAAAACCTGAGAAAAACAGCTCTTTAAAAGACTTTTCCCCCTTAATGTACAGTAATTTTATAATAGCATGTATCTTAAAATATAGTTTTTATAATAATAAATGACACTTTTTCACTTTTTTTCTATTTTAAAAAAGAATGAAAAAAAATTGTATTATATTTTCTAGCTATTTATACATATATATAACGCGGTAAGTGTCGTGCGAACGTACGATAACATAATGTGGCACTGCAGACATCATACCCACAAGTAGATGTTTACAATATCATTTTTTTTTTTATATTTTGATTTCACATTATATTGATAAGAAGATGTAGTTTTAAAACAACCTAACATTATATGAACAAGAAGTTCCTAATATAAGTTTAATAACGGAATGCTATCATCGATAACTACGACGGATGTATAGAAGAGGACAACATAATTACAAGTTATTAGTTTTATTTAGGATAGGGTAAAAAATAAATGATAATAAAAATGCCTAATTAGATAAATAACACTAAAATACAAATAAGGCTTGTAGGTAAAAAGCTAACACAATATATATTTATATAAATAACTAAAATAGTATTTACCAAACAATTATTTTAAAAGAGTAATTCTACTGAAAATTTTAACTTATCGTTAACAAGTAAAATAACATGAAATATTTTTATAATATAAACTCTAATGTTTTATAATAGCCTAAAAACAATATGACTTCATATGTTTTCTTAAAGGATTGTTCTTCTTTTCATGTTTAACTTTTAACATATTATAACTCTTCAAAATTCTATATTTGACATTTAACATAAGTTGTACTTCTGTGCACCATTTTAATTATTTTTTTAGTGACAAATATAGTAGTAATAATAATATAATAAAGAAAATGTAGTCTACATTGCTTGAAAAATAATAACTAAGTTTTGAGTGATATATTGTGTTTTTTTTAATCATTTAAAACTACATATTAATTGACTTAAATCAGCTGAGTAACACAAAACTACAAGTATGACTTGTAGGTAAGAAGCTAAGACGATAATGATAAAGTTAGACGATAAACCGATTCCGTACCACTCGACTCAACTCTAATTAATAAAGAAGTTATAAACAAACACATATAGTTTATTACCATTCTGTGTATTCATAAGAAATACTCTTAGTCAATGGAAAACAGAAAACACAGCAATATTGTAAATAAATTAAAAATACAAAACAGTAGGTACTCACTTACAAATTGTAGAATCGTACACAACAGAGAACTGTAAACACTGCTGTTCAGGCTACTACTAAAAACTTAATTAACAGGCAAGATAAAACACAATTGTAATGAAATAACGAAACACGACACAAACGTTAGGTATTTATCGCAGAATTCGACCAAGTTATAATGATGGAAATCTAGAGATGTTCACGAATCGGACAACAATAAATATCAATTATTTACAAACAAGATAATTTGTATTTATACATAATAGTTTGGAGGTTAGGTTCAGATGCGTTCCCTAACCACCAAGACGCTTTGTTATTTATTTAAATATCACTGCTCGTATATTTAATGTGTACAGCACAATGTTATTAACAAATTAGGAACAAGATTACAAATAATTAACGAACAAGATTAAACACAAGTAAATAACAAAATGTCTGCGTGGAAGAAAGACGCCGAGCGCGTAGACGAAGTCGTGCGAGATAATCGAATGGCGGACTGAAAATGGCAGCCGGCTACTAGATGCGGTGTCATCCTAACGCTACACCCGGCGCAGTAGTTGGTGGTACGGTAGGTAGTGGTACCAACCGACACCGCGTTGCTAGCGTTTCACCACGGCAGAGTAGGTGGTGATACCAACTATCATCACATTAGTGGTGATTTTAATGCAAACTGCATGACAACGCAGAAATCTTCTAGACAGATTTGTGATAGTATGTGTGTGATAAGAAGTGATTTTCGCATCGTGGAGTTAAACTGTCATAAATAATCACTTTAAAATAAACGCTTGACCACAGATTTTTGATAAAATTGTAAATGTTATACTTCCGTTCTAGATGTACCTTTGGTCTATTTTTTTGACATATATTAGTTAAACTTTACTTGAAGATGTTAAATAAAGAAGAAATGTCTACTCCTTTTTGTGGAAAGGGATTAAGATATGTTTTTGTTTTGTCAATGTTTATCGGTAGTAGGTTCTATGTCATATTTTAACTTTGTTGGCAACACTATAGTTTTGTCAATTTTGACCATTCCTTCAGCCCCAAATTGTACTTATACATTCGTATATCATTAATTCGAATTAAATCGTAAGATAGCAATCGTTTTAAGAAAAAAAACATTATGATTGGCCAAACAAGCAGAAAAGTACAACAGAATCATAGAATTAAATATTCATCCCATCGAAAATTTTAAGTAAATCAGTATTGATAATAGTTACAAAATAAAATAATGAAAGTAAAGAACATGTAAGTATGTAACTTAATTTCATTACAAAAAAATTAACGTAACATAGAGATTACTGTCTAGAAACATATTATAAGGGTAAAATTACTTTGCGTGGTAATTTTGTAATTAACTAATACATGTATAACAGCATCATTATTCTTTAATAAAAACCAACACTAATTATGTTTCTTTTAATATAAATTGAGTGGTCAAAGACATTGATAGGGTCTTCACATTATCATCAGTAATTTTTAGTACCTACACTATATTTTAATTATAAACCTCTATATTTTCAAATTAAATATAATTAATGTATATATAGGTTTATATAAATGTAGAGCTTGAAGCAACATACAGACAAGTCCTTTTTAAAATAGAGAAAAACATTTTTTAACTTGTTTTTTATTCATTTTATTTTTTACAAATTCCAAATCAATTTATCTATTATACTACCATTCATTTTTATCAACGTTTGTGGGGTTTTTACAAAATAGTGTACATTTTAACAAGGTAACGTTTTCAATTGCTGTTTAGTATTTTTATTTTTATTTTTATTGAAAGAGGTAAATGGTTGGCATTATAAAATACCTTTCGTAATCGATTTCTGATTTGTAGATTGGATATAATGAGCTGATTGGTAGAAACTAAAAAAAACGATTTACCCATTTTATAGCGTTCCACAGGCCAATCCAAATATCTCCTACAGGTAAATTGAGTTTTTTGATATTATGTTACCATCATAAATAATTCAATCATTTTATACATCGAATAAAAAAAAATTATTTTAAAAAGTATGAATGAAACTAACATAATGTAATCACAACTATCGAAAAAATAATACATTTTATTTTGAATTTTAAATAAATATAAAATAAAACCTTCCAAATTATACATATTAAATTTTATAAGGTATTATTTTGTAACAATTTTTTTTATATTTATTTCAACATCAAAATAGTGTATTATAATTTTGACAATATTATGAATATAGTTATATGATACATAATAATATTGAATTTTAATAGATTTTTTTCGATGGATACGATTCACTGGTATGCCAGATTTGCACAAATGTTATTTACTATACTAAGATGGAAAGTATAACTTTCTCTGTATCCTCCAGTTAACTTAAGACTGAACATAAAACATTAGAGGCGTTACACATCTGGAACTGTACAATATAATGTTGAAATTTTAACACACAAGATTTAATAATTAAATAATAACATTATATGGGTATATTTGTTTCTACCAACTAACATAAATACTAAATACATACACATGTATTCTGGTGGTAATGATTGTACAATCTTAGGTAACTTAATTAAGCAGTAAAATTAAACTACAAAATAATATAACAAGTTAAGTACACTGTTTTATAATGTGTAAAACATATTGGTTTCACTAAATACCTTGTGATCAGTTAAACGATAGTAATAATTTAAAAATTATAAGAAAACTAATACAAAAATATTCAATCTGAATAAAATTGTTCATAAAAAAAAATTGTAAAATAATTACAAATAGCTTTTGAAAAACTATTTTAAAACTACTAAATTGTCCATATGTGAGGTTTATGAGGTTATGAGCCATGTGCTTTTGCTTGATGTCTTTTGAGAGTATCTTGGCAACCATATGATTTATCACAGACTGAGCATTTATATCGTACCCCACCAATATGTATCCGTGCATGTCTCTTGAGATCAGATTGTTGACGAAATGTTTTTTCACAGACATCGCATTTAAACGGTTTAACGCTGGCATGTATGCGTTCATGAGCTTTTAGGTGATGTTCTCTACCAAACGTTTTTTCACAGACATCGCATTTAAACGGTTTCTCGCCGGTATGAATACGTGCATGGTTCTTGAGATGAGTTTGTTGACTGAATGTTTTTTCACAGACAACGCATTTATAAGGTTTTTCACCAGTATGTGTCCTTTCATGTCTTTTAAGACTTTGTTGTAGACTGAATGTTTTTTCACAGACATCGCACTTAAAAGGTTTCTCGCCGGTATGTATCCGTGTATGATTCTTGAGATCAGATTGTTGAATGAAGGTTTTTTTACAGATATCGCATTTAAACGGTTTTTCGACGGTATGTGTGCGTTTATGAATTTTTAGGTGTTGTTGTGTACCAAATGTTTTTTCACAAAACTCGCATTTAAACGGTTTCTCGCCGGTATGAATACGTGCATGTGTCTTGAGAGCAGATTGTTGACTGAATGTTTTTTCACAGACAACGCATTTATAAGGTTTTTCACCAGTATGTATCCTTTCATGTTTTTTAAGACTTTGTTGTAGACTGAATGTTTTTTCACAGACATCGCACTTAAAAGATTTCTCGCCGGTATGTATCCGTGTATGATTCTTGAGATCAGATTGTTGAATAAAGGTTTTTTTACAGATATCGCATTTAAACGGTTTTTCGAAGGTATGTGTGCGTTTATGAATTTTTAGGTGATGTTGTGTACGAAATGGTTTTTCACAGAAATCGCATTTAAACGGTTTCTCGCCGGTATGTATACGTGCATGTGTCTTGAGAGCAGATTGTTGACTGAATGTTTTTTCACAGACATCGCATTTAAACGGTTTTTCACCAGTATGTATCCTTTTATGTTTTTTAAGACTTTGTTGTAGACTGAATGTTTTTTCACAGACATCGCACTTAAAAGATTTCTCGCCGGTATGTATCCGTGTATGATTCTTGAGATCAGATTGTTGAATAAAAGTTTTTTTACAGATATCGCATTTAAACGGTTTTTTGCCGGTATGAATACGTGCATGTTTTTTGAGATAAGATGGTTGACAGAATGTTTTTTCACAGACATTGCATTTATAGGGTTTCTCGCCGGTGTGTATGCGTTCATGAGTTTTGAGGTGAGATATCTGACCAAATCTTTTTTCACAAGTATTGCATTTAAAGGGGTTCTCTCCGGTATGAACGAGCCAATGTTTTCTAAGGTATGATTTTGATGAACAACTTTTCAAACAAATACCACATTTAAATAAGCCATCTTTGTTTCTAGTATACTCTTTGATTCTGCTGTTACGATGATTGACTTTATTTTTTTGAGGTGCTTTCTTTTCAATGGAAGTACTGGAATGCGATTTCGCAATATGCCGGATTATATTACTTTTGGTTGTAAACCTCCTTTGACATACATTGCAGTCGAACCGACGTAATTTGTATATATTTTTCTCAGAATTGTTTTTTATAGTTTCAATAAAACTACAATCCATAATTTTTGTATTATTCCAGGTATCGGTCGCTTTACATGAAATATGAATACTGCAACACATATGAAACAAAATAGATTAATTAAAGATTAAAATTTCAAACATTGCAAACGGGTTGAAATCTATTTTTTTTTAAAAATAGCTGAAAAACCTCTATATTTAGAGCAAAAATTAGTGATAAAAATTTCAAAAAATAAAGGTCTTATCATAGACCAAAAGAAGAAAAAAATTTTGAGGAGGTTAAGCCGATGACCGCGTGGTTTGACTCAAAATGCCCTATATATATATATATATATATATATATATATATAACAATACAAAGTTACGCTAACATAATGTGGTACTGCAGACATTGACCGGTCATCATAACCACAAATAAATAAATTTATTTTTTTTTGTTATTTTATTTAACATTATATTGATAAGAGTTAAATTTAGTTTTAAGCCAATCTATTATTATATGAACAAGTGGTTCCTAATAAAGGTTTAATGATATCGAAATGCTAACATTGATACCGACGACGGGTTTAAATAGGAGGACAACATAATTACAAGTAGCTTTATTTAGAATAAAAATAAATAGTATTAAAAATCGCCTTACTTATAACTGCTGTCGACTTCATTTTTTACTAAATTCTCCTCTGTTGTAGACATTTTTTTGCTTAAGAACTGCACATCAAACGGTTTAGATTCAATGTCTTTGAACGATTTTTCCACCGAGTGTTCTTCTGTTTCATCATTTTCAGGTTTAATTTTCAATATATTATACCGCTTCAAAACTCTATAATTGACATTCAACATTAGTTATATGTTTATATGACGTGAAAGTAAGAAGCCAAGACGATAATGATTAAAGGTAGAGGATAGCCCATTTGAACGACTAGATTAATTTTAAGTGGCGTAGATCTCGTGTCACTTAAATAAACTCAGGATACACGGGAGTTAATATTTCAATAACTAAATAAGTGAAAAGTTTTTTTTTTTTACTTAGATGTACATGATTAGTTTCCAACAGCTGAATTAAATATTTATTGGTTTTATACTGTGTTTCAATCACTAATTCGTCAAAATTGTGTGTCTTGTCAATACATTATAATACTCATCAACTCACTAATTAACAAAATCCAAAATAATATTCTACTGTATATTCAGGCTTTTATACATAAAAAGATCATTAAATAGGCCTGTTGTGTAAGCATAGAAGGCCTATTAGCTAAAAAAAGAGTAAAAATATTATTTGTTTATTAAAAAAATTGAGGTCAGGCCGATGATCGCGTGGTTTGATTCAGATTGCTCTATATATATATATATATATATATATATAAACAGTAAGTGTTGTGCGAATATACACTAACATAATGTGGTACCGCAAACATTGACCGGTCATCAGGCCACAAATATGTAATTTTTTTTTTTGGTATTTTGATTTAACATTATATTGATAAGAGTTAGATGAAGTTTAAAAAAATCTATTATTATATAAACAAGAGGTTCCTAATATAAGTTTTATGATAGCGAAACGCTAACATCGATACCAACGACGGGTTTAAAAAGGAGGCCAACATAATTACAAGTAGCTTTATATAGGATAAACATACCATGATGTAATTTATTTCATTTTAAAAAATCTTACCATTTCTTTAAAAAATAAAACCTAGAAGAAACGGCTTTTCAAACGACTTTCCCCCCTTAGTGTACAATTTTTTTTATAATAGCGTGTATCTTAAACCCCAGAACTATTTATACTAATTTTTTCTTTTACAATTGTTAAAATGTAGATATGTATAGATGTGTACATATATATAACACGGTATGTCTCGTGCGAATGTACGCTATCATAATGTGGTATTACAGTGTGATTTAACATTAGATAGATAACATGAAGATGTAGTTTTAAAACAATCTATTATTATATGAACAAGTAGTTCCTAAAACAAGTTGAATAACGGAATGCTAACATCGATAAAAACAATGGGTGTATAGAAGAGGACAACATAATTACAAGTTAATAGTTTCATATAGGATAAAAAATAAATGGTAATAAAAATCGCCTTACTCATAACTATTGTCGACTTCATTCTTTACCAAATACTCCTCTGTTGTAGAAATTTCATTGTTTATGAACTGAACATCTAATGGTTTAGGTTCAACGACTTCAAACGATTTTTCAAAGGAGTGTTCTTCTGATTCGTCTTTTTCTTGTTTAATTTTCAGTATATTATTCTGCTTCAAAGCTCTATAATTGAAATTTAACATTCAGTTATAATTCTTTACATGTATAGGATTATTAGGAAGACTTAACTACAATTTTAACTATTGTTTTTTAAATATTAAAAACTATTTGAATTTACCTTAATTAGATAAATAACACAAGTCTACAAGTATGACTGTTAGGTAAAAAGCTAACACAATAAAGATCAAAGCTAGGCGATAGCCCATTTGACCAACTAAATCCTTACTCATTGTATATATATTTAACTGAAATTTTATTTACCAAACAATTATTTTAAAAGAGTATATAATATACTAAACATTTTAACTTATCGTTAACAAGTAAAATAATATCAAATGTAAAGGGCTAGTGGATTAAGTTATTCAAGGAAAGTTTATATTTCTCTTTACTTTTTCTAACGTCTTTATAGCATTGATAACTACGACGGGTGTTTAGAATTGGACAACATAATTACAAGTTAATAGTTTCATTTAGGATTAAATTTAATTCTTAACAAAAATCGCCTTACCCATAAGTATTGTCGTCTTCATTCTTTACTAAATACTCCTCTGTTGTAGAAAATTCATTGTTTATGAGCTGCACATCTAGCAGTTTAGGTTCAATGACTTCTGGCGATTTTTCAAAAGGGCGTTCTTCTGTTTCATCATTTTCATGTTTAATTTTTAACATACTATACCGCTTCAAAATTCTATAATTGACATTTAACATCAGTTATAATTCTTTACATATATAGTATTATTAGGAATTCTTAACTATACAATTTTAACTATTGTTTTTTAAATATTTAAAACTAAATTTGAATTTACCTTAATTAGATAAATAACACAAGCCTAGGTATTTATCACTAAATTCGACCAAGTTATTATGATTAAAACTACTACGGATGTTTAGAACTGGACAACATAATTACAAGTTAATAGTTTCATTTAGGATAAAAAATAAATCGTAATAAAAATCGCCTTACCCATAAGTATTGTCGTCTTCATTCTTTACTAAATACTCCTCTATTGTAGAAATTTCATTGTTTATGAACTGCACATCTAGCAGTTTAGGTTCTATGACTTCAGGCGTTTTTTCAAAAGAGTGTTCTTCTGTTCCATCATTTTCATGTTTAATTTTCAACATATTATACTGCTTCAAAATTCTATAATTGACATTTATCATTAGTTAAATTTCTGTGCCATATATGCATCGAGGTTTAATAGGACAACTTCACTACACAATTATAACTATTTTATTAAGTAACAAATTAGGTAAGAATAATGATATAATAAAGAAAAATTTAGTTAACATTATTTGAAAAATAAAAACCATCAAAGTTTTGAGAGATATATTTTGTTTTTTTAAACTTTTAATCTTAGATTTTAATTTACTTAAATTAGACGAATAACACAAAACTACAAGTATGACTTGTAGGTAAGACGCTAACACGATAAAGATTAAAGCTGAACACCTATAGATGTTTATGATTCTATTTATTCACAAACAGTATGTTAAGTCAACAGGAGACAGAAAACACGGCAATAATGTAATTAAATTCAAAATACATAATAGTAGGTACTCACACAACGTAGAACTGTAAACTGGTGTTCAGGGCTGCTACTAAAAACTTAAAATGATTAACAAGCAAAACAAAACTCAATTGTAATGCAAATTGAAACGAAATAAAGAAACATGAGGCACTACGTTAGTTATTTATCACTGAATTCGACCAAGTTATTATGATTTAAAACTAGAAATACTCATGAATCAGAGACGGGGCATCAATACCGAAAACAAGTTATACCTATGTCCTATTTGCAAAAATCTAATCTAACTATTTATAATTCACAGAAATTCAGAGTGTACAAAAAGAAATATAAATTATTAACAAAAACAAAACTTGTAAATTGTGATTTTAATGCAAAATGAATGACAACATAGAAATTTTCTAGACAGATTTGTGATAGCGTGTGTTTGTGTGATAACGATTGATTGCCACAAATGGAGGTACTTCACAGCGTGGAGGTAAACTGTCGTGCGTTTTAGGCGGCAAAAAAATCAAAATCTCAACTCGTTTCAAAGCTTGTTGTAAACTTACCTTCATTGACATCCTATAACTTGTATTAATGCGTTTACCTAAGACTTTATCCGTTTCGCACACATCTTTCGCTAATTGTGTTAGAACACATAGGCCCCACACTAGTAAAATAATATTTAATATTATAATAACAAAAAAATAGTTTATAAGAAAGCCAGTGATTTGACATTCCATGCCAAATCACCCGCTGTGTGTGCAAGTGAATTTTTGAAATGCCTCAAACTTACATATTATGCTATGCAGATAGTTCCATAAAATCAGTAAACTGAAGAAAAATATGTTTTAACATTTGTTTGCCATATTTAATAATTTGATGTGAAAACACATTAAGTTCACGATCACGTTACTTAATGAATTTTTAATTTATGTCTTAAAAAGTTATAGGTTCTTAAATATATCACTTTTTAGTGAAATTCCAAACTTTAAGGTTACATATAGATAAAAAAAAAAAAATGTTAAAAATATGATGGATCAGGAAAAAATGTTTAAATTTTGATTTTAAGTTAGAAACAACACTAAATGAAATTCATAAAACTTATAATTTGTTTTTTAATTTTTAAGTACTTAAACTTTTAACATGTCTAGTTAAAAAGAAATGTAATCATAATTGTTGAAATAATAATACATTTTAATTATTATAAAAGAAACCTTCCAAATTTTACACATGCAATTTTATAAGGTATGTTTTTGTAAGATTTTAGTTTAAATTTATTTAAAAATTTAAAATAAAATGCATTATTATTTCGACAATATTATGATAACAATTAAATGATTTCTAATAAAATATAATTTTTCGCTGTATTTATATCCGTTATTATCCAATAAATCATTTTTAATTTTAATATATTTATTTTATCTGATAAATGAATGGTCGCATCGAATGGTACTACGAAAATTAATAACATTATTATATTAAACATTTATCAATCAAACGGAAAGCCCAAAATGTTACAGACACAATTAGTACGATCTTCGAAACAACTAGTTCTTAAACATTTTAAATAACGCATCAGTTTGCTTAAAAATCAAAGATAATAATCAATATAAATATTATAATGTATACATTTATAAAATATTAAAAGCTGTTGAATAGTTTTCCACTAGTTTTACTTCATACTTTTACAAAAGATTTTAATTCTATACTTATAAAATGTTTATTAATTTAACACATCATCCAATTTGTTTGGGTAAAAACATTGAATTACGTTGAAAACGGGTCGAAATCTATTTTTTTGAAAAATAACTGAAAAACCTCTATATTTAGAGCAAAAAATAGTGATAAAAATTTCAAAAAATAAAGGTCTTATCATAGACCAATAGAAGAAAAAAATGTTGAGGAGGTCAAGCCGATGACCGCGAGGTTTGACTCAGAATGCCCTATATATATATATATATATAAACAGTCAGTCTCGTGCAAACATACGCTAACATAATGTGGTACCGCAGACATTGACCGGTCATCATAACCACAAATAAATAATTTTTTTTTTTTTGTTATTTTGATAACAGTTAAACGTAGTTTTAAACCAATCTATAATTATATGAACAAGTGGTTCCTAATATAAGTTTAATGATATCGAAACGCTAACACTGATACCAACGACTGGTTAAAATAGGAGGACAACATAATTACAAATAGCTTTATTTAGGATAAAAATAAATGGTATTAAAAATCGCCTTAAAAGGATACAAACCGGCGAAAAACCCTTTAAATACAAAATGTGTGCAAAAACATTCAGTCAACGACCTCATCTCAACAATCATAGAAGGATAGATATCCGAGAGAAACCTTTTAAATGTGATGTCTGTAAAAAAACATTCAGTCTACGACATAATCTCAAAACTTATGAACGCACACATATTGGTGGGGTCCGATATAACACTCCGTCTGTGAAAAAAAGTATGGTCGCCAAAATAAAGTTCTTTTTAGTTTTTGATAAATAAAAACTATCTATTTGCAATTTACTTTATTCAAAATATTAGATAATTTAGGTATACAATCGAAATTAGATATTTTTTAAACTTTTTTATGTAGGTACTATAAAGTAACAAAATTAGCTAAATTCTTAATTTAATTAAGTTTTAAACCAACGTGGTAAACAATTTCAATATTTAAGCTAATCATACACTGTTGTAGCGGTAGTAGACATATTTTGTAATATAAATAGTTTTGTGTACCATAATAAGAGGATTCGATACTGACCATTTTTAAGGATTTTTGTGTAGGCAATGTTTATGAAAAAAGTGGTTTAAACAAATGTCAACCATGTCAATTAATTTACTGGTTAATTTGTATTATCTTCATGGTATCATTTTTAATTTAAATCATTTTGTCTATGAGTAAAAGCCATTTTTGTTAATATAATAGTACATTAATTGTCCATCGCACAGGCCAAATCAGTGATTTATAGTCTTAATTATATTATGTTCTGGCCAAATAAACAATAATCTTGTTGCTTAGTTATTGCGCTACTTTAGTATCGCAATGTAGTGTTAATAACTAAGCAAGTTTAATTATGAGTGCTATTTAGTGTCATTTTGGGGCTGGACAGCCAAGGCTAAAGCATGTTGCATGCTAAACAATTTTATTAAGGACCACGATGTTTTCTAAATTACTGAACCAATATGAGGCTATAAGCCTGAACTCCTCTTTAAATTGAAATGCTAAGAATATATTTTATTTACTTTTTATATTTTCTATCTACACTTAATAATTTATTAAAATCTCGATTGGCCGATGCTGGTTTGGTTAGAAAATAATACTATTCGTAAGGAAAGTATTAGAAATAAACATAAAAATCCTATTTAATTACATTGAATTCAATGACTTTTACTCATAATTTAATAATAAATAAAAATATTAAAGTAGGTATATTTTGCCAACTTGCCCGAAAGACATTTATTAACCAAATTTGTTTTTGATTGTGCGGTGTCAACCAAAAACCAATAGATTAATTTAAAGTGGCGCTGATCCCATATCACTCGACTCAACTCTGAGTAAATAATAAGTAATAAATAAATACCTATAAATTATGATTCTGTTTATTCCCAAGCAGTATTCTAAGTCAATGAAAGACAGAAAACACGGAAATAGTGTAAATAAGTTAGAAATACAAAACAGTAGGTACTCGCACAACGTAGAACCGTAAACTGCTGTCCAGGGCTGCTACTTAAAATGTATAATAAATAAATTACAGGCAAGACAAAACTCAATTGTAACTCTAAAACGAAACACGACGCAATACATTAGTTATTTATCACAGAACTCGACCAAGTTATTATGATAAAAATCAAGAGATTTTTACAAATCGGACGTGTAGCAACAATAATGTAAACAAATTGTTCCTATGGCATTAAATCTAATTGAACTAGTAATAATTCACAGAAATTCAGAGTGTACGAAAAGAAATCTCAATTATTAAAAACAACAAAAACTTGTACTAAAATGTAGGTTTTTAACGCAAACTGCAGGAAAACGCTAAAATTGTCCCAACAGATTTGTGATAGTGTTTGATTGTGTGATAACGCGTAATAGCCACTGGTGGAGGTGTACATAAAAAAATTTCAAATAAATCATCAGACATTATTAAAAATAAATACATTTCAATGAAAATAGTAAAAAAACATAGTATGTAGTAGTAGAAGTAGTAGTAAGTAAATAAATAGGGACGAGGTCCCGTATTCACATATAAAAATATAAATATCGATAAAGCATTGTAACTAATGACAATTATGTGCTTATAAATTACATTTTAGTGTTAGGATGGATACGATTGGGGTTAATAGACGATAGTCTGTCTATAAAATGACTGTGACAATCATAAAATAAATTTAAGTAAATATCTTATGACTTCAGACTTAAGCGTATTATCATTCAAATTATTCTCATAAAAATATATTTTTTTTGATAGTGAGGTGTTAACCAATAGCCATTTGTTTTCTTGTTTGTCGAATCTTCCACAACGAGTTTGTCTAAAATTATTCACAAACACGAATTAATCATTTCTCTTCATAAGAACGTCTGCATTTTATAATTATGAGTAAAAAAAAGGTAAAACTATAACGAAATAACGTAATTTCAACACGCAAATAAAAGCAAGCTTTTAGTGATATTTAATTTAAGTTATTTAAAAGTTTAATTAACTTATGTATAGTTGGTTAATAAATCGATGGATCGAATGTATACAAAACTGACCATATAAAAATCATGAAAGAATACTATATGCAGTTTTACTAGGCATTACAGTAATAACTGTAAATAGCGTCCACGACGATTTATCATCTTGCATTTTGCATATTATATTATGCTACACAAAACAGTTTATATTGTTGATAAGACACAAAATATGTGTATTACAGCTAAGACCGTGTACGATTAGCTTCAATATTGAAATTAAATACCATGAGTGGGTTTAAATTTAATTCAGTTAAGAATTTATCTAATTTTGTTACTTGAATCTCTTTATGCAAAAAGAACCTATGTCAACATTTTATCAAAAACGTGGTTATTACAGGTTCGTTAACACTTTATACTTAGACGCATTGATTCATGTTTAAACAGCTTTAGTCCATTACTAACAAATTAGACACAAATTTATTGACTTTTGTTAGAAGGGTCTAAGTTCACTATACTTAAATACTAATAATCTGGACTGCATTTGAAAATAATAATATTGTTTCACAGAATGTAATTTAACTGTTTAATATCTATTAACTTTGATAAATCCCTTACATGTTGATGCATTTTAAAACATTTCAAAAGTTTTTTCGTTTTCCAAAAGTATAAATTTAAAAATCAAGGCCCCTTTTGCACAATTCACTTAGTAGTGCCTACTTAAAAATTAAAAAAAATTGTACATTTATAATATGTTGAATAAAGTAAATTGGATATAGATAATAACGTTATTGATAATGAATATTTTGGAAATATTGTGAAAATACTTTATTGTTTTAAACCAAGCGAAAACATATTTAACTAATTAGTATTTTAATAAATAATAGAAACAATATAATAACATGTTTATTATTTAACGTGTAATTAATATAAAAGTGGCAAAATTAATCAAACAAATATTCATACAGATAAAAAAATAAAATAAAAATTTAAAAATAGTTTCCATAAACATGATTAGTCGGACAAAATTAATAAATATTTTAAATTAAAAATCTAGTTTAAAACATAAACTAACATAAAATACTCGTATATTATACATAGTTTCTCTTTGAAACAAACAGTAATTGTAAAAAAACTATTACCAAATAATATAAAACGTAATTTTTATAACTATGATTAATTGGATATAAATAAATACAAATTTGAAATTAAAAATACAAACTTACATACCTTAATAACTATTTTTCTTTAAAACCACAACAGTAATTATAAAGGACTATTATAATATTTAAACAAAAAACAATGAAAACCATATTATCAACTATTTTTCATATGTAAATTATGGAATAAAAAAATTAAATAATAAAAATATAAAAACTTTATAAATTATATAATCCGTCAAAAGAATTATAAGATATTAAATAGAAAAAGTCAAGAAAATGTTAGTGATCAAGAGAACAATAGTAAACAATGAAAAACTATAAAAAAAAACCGGTAATTATACTCGTAAATCGTTAATTCCAATGAAAACGTAAGAAAAAAAAAGTAAAATGATAAACAATTGTTACTAAAACTTTCAAATAGTCACAAGACGTATACGAGGCTCTAGTTATGTGCTTTTGCTTTAGGGCTATTAAGAAAACATTGGCGACCATACGATGTTTTTTCACAGATATCGCATTTATGGGGTTTCTCGTCGATATGTATCTTTTTATGAGTTTTGAAGAAAGACTTCGTTTCACAGACATCGTTTATGATTTTTGAGGTGATGTCGTCTACCAAATGTCTTTCCACATATATCGCATTTATAGGGTTTTTCGCCAGTATGTATCCTTTCATGAGTTTTGAGTTTATTTTGTAGTCTGAATGTTTTTTTACAGACATTGCATTCAAAGGGTTTTTCTCCGGTATGTGATCTTTCATGAGTTCTGAGATTATTTTGTAGTCCAAACGTTTTCTTACAGACATTGCATTTAAAGGGTTTTTCTCTGGTATGTATCCTTTTATGAGTTTTGAGGGTAGACCGATCACCAAATGTTTTTCACTGACATCACATTTAAAAGGTTTCTCTCCGGTATGTACCCTTTTATGGTTTACGTGAGCTCTTCGACTGAATATTTTTGCACACACATTGCAATTAAAAGGTTTCTCTCCAGTATATATTCTTTCATGAATTTTGAGGGTAGACTGTTCACCAAATGTTTTCGCACACACATTGCACTTAAAGGGTTTTTCGTCGGTATGTATACGCGCATGTTTCTCGAGATTAGATTTTTGACCAAATGTTTTTGCACAGACATCGCATTTAAAGGGCTTTTCGTCCGTATGAATACGCCAATGTGTTCTCAGGCTTGATTTTGATGAAAATGTTTTTAGACAAATATCACAATTAAGTAGGTCTACTTTATTTCGAGTATACCCTTTGATTCTGCTGTTTCGATAAATTGACTTTATTTTTTTGAGGCACTTTCTTTTCCATGGAAGTAGTGGAATGCGACTTCGCAATATGCCGGATCAAATGACTTTTGGTTGAATACCTCCTATGACATACATTGCAGTCGAACCGACGTATTTTATGTATATTTTCCTCAGAATTGATTTTTATTATATTATTTGGAGTATCTGTCGCTTTACATGGAAAATGAAACTGCAACACGTATGAAACAAAATGTATTTATCCAAGATCAATATATTTTAATGTTATACAGCAAATATTAATATTACTAACGTTAAATCGACAATACATCAAACAAGCATCATTTTTTATTTTTTTTTTTTTATTTAAATAAAGACAATATTTACAATCTGTATACAATAAAACAATAGGTAAAAGAGCTGAAATAGAAACTAGACAAGACGACGTGAAAGAAGGGAGCGTCCATTAACACTACTTCCAAGCATCATTTTTAAAACTAATTTTATTCATTTTAGATGAACTACACAAATCTACTATTAACTCAATTTTTATTAGATTGTGTTGCTTAAACTTATCCAACAATAATAAAGTAAACAAGTATAATGTGACCTTTACATTTTTTAGAATACCGATAATAAACGTCCGAATGCCACAAGATTTGAAAATTCTACTCTGTTTTAAGTCCACTTTTAAATTTTAAAAAGTACCATGAGACATTTTAATGACCGAGTTCTTTTGAACCTAAACTTTTTTTTTTAATGAATAGTTTTTTATAATAGCATGTATCTTTAAAGATTCACCACCTCATTGAATAATTTAATAGATGATAAAGACACACCTTGTATGTATGAAGTAGAAGTGTTTATCTAGTTCTATCTAATTAAAGTTAGTTTATGGCTAATGACCTAGATGTCGAAGAATAATCACTTTTTAAATAAAATAAAAAAGTTAGATTACTTATAGTATATTTCATAATATTTTCTATATAACCTAAAATAAATTTCCGATGGTAAAAAAATGTATTTTATAAAAATCAAACAGCCTCCAGTATTAAATATATTATTTTTTCTTTGAACTGTTAAAATATAGCTTTTATAACAAAAAAATGTCACTTTTTGTATTTTTAAACCATTTTATAAAAGAATTTAAAAAATGTATGAATGTTTCCTATATATTTATATTTATAACAAGGTAAGTCTCGTGCGAACTTACGCTCACATAGAGCGGTACTGCAGACATTGATCGGTCATCATACCCACAAGTATATGTTTACAATTTGGTATGATTAAACATTATATTGATGGAAGAATGAAGATGTAGCTTTAAAATAACCTGTTATTATATGAACAAGTGCGGTCCCTAATATAAGTTTAATGTTAGCGGAACACTAACAATGATATCAACTACGGGTTTATAGAGGAAAAGGACATAATTACATAAGTTTAATAATTTTCATTAGGATTATAAAAAAAGTAATAAAAATTGCCTTACTCATAACTATTGTCTACTTCATTCTTTACCAAATACTCCTCTGTTGTAGAAATTTCATTGTTTATGAACTGAACATCTAATGGTTTAGATTCAATGTCTTTGAACGATTTTTCCACCAAGTGTTCTGTTTCATCATTTACAGGTTTAATTTTCAATATTTTATACCGCTTCAAAACTCTATAATTGACATTCAACATTAGTTATATGTTTATATGACTTGAAAGTAATATGCCAAGAAGATAATGATTAAAGATAGAGAATAGCCCATTTGAACGACTAGAGAAATTTTAAGTGGCGTAGATCTCGTATCACTTAAATAAACTCAGGATACACGGGAGTTTATAGTTCAATAACTAAAAATTCAGAGTGTACAAAAAGAAATATCAATAATTAACAAAAACAAAACTTGTAAATTGTGATTTTAATGTAAACTGAATGGCAACACAGAAGGCCAACTTGTTTGGTAGTGTTGGGTCGGCAGCATTTTATAATTCACTATTAAACTTGTTTTAGATAAACTCTAATGTTTACACAGTATGAACCCTTATGACTTATAATAGCTTAAAAACAAGCGTTAAGTGTAGAAGAAGGAAAAGATAAGGAGATAACGTTACTCAAAGAAAATTCATATTTCTCATTACATTTTATAACTTCGAAAATAATTGTTTGAATTATAAACTATATTATTAATACTATTTTGAAAATGAATCAGGACATCTTTGATTAAGTTTGTACGCTATCATCGATACCAACAACGGTTTTATAGAGGAAGACTACATATTACAAAAGATTAATAGTTTTATTTAGGATAAAAAAATTGTATTAAAAATCGCCTTACTCATAACTATTGTCGACTTCATTCTTTACCAAATACTCCTCTGTTGTAGAAATTTCATTGTGTATGAACTGAACATCTAACGGTTTAGGTTCAACAACTCCAAACATTTTTCCAAGGAGTGTTCCGATTCGTCATTTTCTTGTTTAATTTTTAACATTTTATACCGCTTCAAAACTCTAATATTAACATTTAAATTAGTTATATTAATATGCCATATATGCATAGAGGATTAATTAGACAACTTAGTTGCACAATTTGAACTCTTTTGTTTATTAACAAATAAAGAAAAAATAATGATATAATAAAAAATAATTTATTTTACATCATTTGAAGAATATTAACCAGCCAAGTTTTCAGTTGTATATTTGTTTTTTTAAACGTTTAAAAATAAATTATAATTCACTTAAATTAGATGAATAACACACACAAAACTACAATTATGACCTGTAGGTAAAAAGATAACACGATAAAGATTAAAGCTAGACGATAGCCCATTTGACCGATTAGGTTAATTTAAAGTGTCGTTGATCCCATATCAATCGACTCAACTTCATGTAAATAATAAGTAATTAGCAAACACATGTCAAGTCAATGGAAGACAGAAAACATGGCAATAATATAGAAATATAATTATAGTATATAATATAGAAATACAAAGCGGTAGGTACTCACACAACGTAGAACCGTAAACCGCGTTCGAAGGCTGCTACTACAAACTTGTTATAAATAATTAACAGGCAAGAAAAAACTCAATTGTTACGTGAATTGAAACGAAATATCAAAACAAGACCCAATACGTTAAGTACCTATCACAGAATTCGACCTAGTTATTATGATTAAAATCTAAAAATTCTCACGAATCGGACCTGTGGCAATAATACTGAAAACTGGTTAAATTAACAGAAATTCAGATTTTACAATAAGAAATCCTAATTATTAACAAAAACTACACTTTAGTTGAATAATAATTGTGATTTAAATGCAAAGTGCAAACTGCACGACAACGCAGAAAGTGATAAGTGATATATATTGTTATTTTATACATTTAAAACTACATTTTAATTTACTTTAATAAGCTAAATAACACAAAACTACAAGTATGACTTGTAGTTAAGAAGCTAAGACGATAATGATAAAGTTAGACGATAAACCGATTCCGTACCACTCGACTCAACTCTAATTAATAAAGAAGTTATAAACAACCACATATCGATTTTTACCATTCTGTGTATTCACAAGAAATACTCTTAGTCAATGGAAAACAGAAAACACAGCAATATTGTAAATAAATAAAAAATACAAAACAGTAGGTATTTACTTACAAATTGTAGAATCGTACACAACAGAGAACTGTAAACACTGCTGTTCAGGCTACTACTAAAAACTTAATTAACAGGCAAGATAAAACACAATTGTAACGAAATAACGAAACACGACACAAACGTTAGGTATTTATCGCAGAATTCGACCAAGTTATTATGATTGAAATCTAGAGATGTTCACGAATCGGACAAAAATAAATATCAATTATTTACAAACAAGATAATTTGTGTTTATACATAATAGTTTGGAGGTTAGGTTCAGATGCGTTCCCTAACCACCAAGACACTTTGTTATTTATTTAAATATAACTGCTCGTATATTTAACGTGTACAGCACAATGTAATTAACAAGTTAGGTACAAGATTACAAGTAATTAACAAACAAGATTAAACAAAAGTAGTTACCAAAATGTCTGCGTGGAAGAAAGACGCCGAGCGTGTAGACGAAGTCGTGCGAGATAATTGAATGGCGGACCGAAAATGGCAGCTGGCTACTAGCTGCCAATATATAAGAAATACAAAACGTTAGGTACTCACACAACATAGAAACGTTCACCACTGTCCAGGGCTGTTACTAAAAACTTATAATCAATGATTAACAGGCAAGAAAATTGTAACGCAAATATATTAGGTATTTATCTTAAAACTCGACCGAGTAATTATTATGATTAAAAGCTAGAGATTTTCAAGAATCGGACCCGTTGCAACAATACAGAAAACAAATTGTACCTAAGGGCGGTAAGTCTAATTTAACTAGTTATTATTCACAGAAAGAAGAGAGTACAAACAGAAATGTCAATTATTAAACAAATCAAAACTCGTTCTAAAATAATTGTGATTTTATCATTTATTGCAAACTGCACGACAACGCACAAATGTTCTATACAATTGTGATAGCTGTGATAACGAGTGATTGCCCAGTGTGAAGGTACACCACAGCGTGGAGGTAAACTGTCGTGCGTTTTAGGCGGCAAAAAAATCGAAATCTCAACTCTTGTTTCAAAGCTTGTTGTAAACTTACCTTCATTGACATCCTATAACATGTATTAATGCGTTTACCTAAGACTTTATCCGTTTTGGACACAACTTTCGCTAATTGTGTTAGAATACATAGGCCCCACGCTAGTAAAATAATATTTAATATTATAATAACAAAAAAAATAGTCGTTAAAGAAAGCCAGTACAGTTGGGCATAGTGGAGACTGGGATGTCACAGGTCTACAGGAATTGTTTTAACCGAAAGTGATATAATCACTTTTAAATAAACGCTTGACCACAGAATTTTGAGAAAATTGTACCGATATGTTTTACTTCCATTCTTGATCTACCTTCAGTCTAATTTTCAGAACTAAATCACTAAAAATTTGTTGAAAAAGTGAAATAAAGAAGAAATGTCTCTCCTTTTCACTTAAAGGTTTATGATATGTTTTTGTTTTGTCAATGTTTATCGGTAGTAGGTACTATGTTTAATGAACATTTCAGATTTGTGATTTGTGAAAAAATATTAAGATGTTCTAGTTTTACAATTGTTAAAGTTTCATGTATTCATACTTTTATTTTGCTAGCCACACTATAGTTTTGTACAATTTTGAACATTTCTTCTGCCCTACATAACACATCATTTTGTCACATAATATGTTTGTTGCCTCTTTCCATCACAAATTTTTAGCTATAAGGTTTCATTAATAAAAAATATTTTAACTGAACACTGGTGCCATGATTTCAGAGTAATATTATTAAAAGGAATATTATTTTGACAAAAATCATTTGATAGCTCTCCTAACCTCTGTCAACTTGATGTCATGTTTTTTTCTGTTCAATATCTTACACAATGAAGTTCTCCCAAAGTATTATCAACAACCAAATCGTATAAAAAAATTAGTATTATAAATATATACCAAAGAATTGAAGAGCCATATCATTAAAAGTAATCATACTACAAAATTTGTATGTTTGCTTTCCTGCACTGTCTATTAATTTCCATTATCCTCCTTCTTTGTCATGTCTTTCACAATGAAATGTTCCTCCATCATTCACAAACACGAATAAGTCGTTTTTCATGTTAACAACACCTGCATTTAAAAATATTTATGAATAAAATAATGTGTAATATACTTACCTAATATACCTACTTGAACAAATATATACCGACTTGAGCAATCTCCATAACTTAACAACTCGTTCAGGTACTTTATGACCATTAACAAGATAAATTAGTAATTACGTTTTCTATAGTCGTATTATATATGTAGAGTATTCTACAGTCGCTAGAAAATTACCATTATCTCTACCAAACTACAAAAACAATAATACTACAATAATATTAAAACAATAATATTAAATTCACACGTACCATATAAACTCAGTAAATTGAATATTTTCCTTTTTTTTTGTTATACAAATTAAAATAAAATACAAGTAGAAACTTATTTAGTAGTTTTGCATGGTTTTTATGGTAAAGCTGTGTTTATTTACAACAAATAATTAATAACTGAATATTGTAGAGTTTCACAAGACTCGAACCTCGAACAGTGGGCATTGGTTCAATAATTTCTGTACTTTTTGGTATTTGTTTGGTTTAACAATGTTCATCGGTAATACTATAATTAAAGAATATTCCATACAAATTTGGAAAAAACTAATGTTTTTAAAAAAGTTATACCTAGAGCATCGTAATTTTAAGTTGAATAAAAAAAACATTTTAAAAAACATGCTTTTATAAAAAAAAAAAAATAGTGATAAGTGAACTAAAACGTAAAAAAAATGTTTCCACCCCCCTAGGGGGGGGGGGGGTACAAGTTTTTTTGTTTTTCGGAGTTTTAGCCGTAATTTTAAAACTTTTGGGATGAAAATTAGCCAGTAGTTGGAACTCATATGTATCCATAACATATTAAACGGGTGAAAAATTCGGCACTTCAGTTTTTTTTGTAATTGCCGGAAACTGTGTTTTCGCAGATTTCGTAAATTTCAACAAACACACCTACAATCTTTTAAAAAAATTGATGATATCATTAAAACAATTTTATGTATATCTATACAGAATGATACTATTATGTTTTGTGCTCAAGTACCACTTTTAACTTACGTATACACAAATTCAATTTTTTTTTTAAACACAAGATTTAATAATTAAAAAATAACATTATATGGGTATATTTGTTTCTACCAACTAACATAAATACTAAATACATACACATGTATTCTGGTGGTTATGATTGTACAACCTTAGGTAACTTAATTAAGCAGTAAAATTAAACTACAAAATAATATAACAAGTTAAGTACACTGTTTTATAATGTGTAAAACATTTGGTTTAACTAAATACCTTGTGATCAGTTAAACGATAGTAATAATTTAAAAATTATAAGAAAACTAATACAAAAATATTCAATCTGAATAAAATTGTTTATAAAAAAAAATTGTAAAATAATTACAAATAGCTTTTGAAAAACTATTTTAAAACTACTAAATTGTCCATACGTGAGGTTTATGAGGTTATGAGCCATGTGCTTTTGCTTGATGTCTTTTGAGAGTATCTTGGCGAACATATGATTTATCACAGGCTAAGCATTTATATCGTACCCCACCAATTTGTATCCGTGCATGTCTCTTGAGATCAGATTGTTGACGAAATGTTTTTTGACAGACATCGCATTTAAACGGGTTTACTCTGGTATGTATGCGTTCATGAGCTTTTAGGTGATGTTCTCCACCAAACGCTTTTACACAGACAACGCATTTATAAGGTTTTTCACCAGTATGTATCCTTTCATGTTTTTTAAGACTTTGTTGTAGACTGAATGTTTTTTCACAGACATCGCACCTAAAAGGTTTTTCGCCGGTTTGTATCCGTGTATGATTCTTGAGCTCAGATTGTTGAGTGAAGGTTTTTTCACAGACATTGCATTTAAGCGGTTTTTCGCCGGTATGAATACGTGCATGTGACTTGATAGCAGATTGTTGACAGAAAGTTTTTTCACAGACATTGCATTTAAAGGGTTTCTAACCGATATGTATCCTTTTATGAATTTTTAGGTGTTGTTGTCTACCAAACGTTTTTTCACAGACATCGCATTTAAACGGTTTTTCGCCGGTATGAATACGTGCATGTTTTTTGAGATCAGATTGTTGAGTGAAGGTTTTTTCACAGACATCGCATTTAAACGGTTTTTCGCCGGTATGAATACGTGCATGTTTTTTGAGATCAGATTGTTGAGTGAAGGTTTTTTCACAGACATTGCATTTATAGGGTTTTTCACCGGTATGAATACGTTCATGTCTCTTGAGATTAGATGGTTGAGAGAATGTTTTTTCACAGACAACGCATTTATAAGGTTTTTCACCAGTATGTATCCTTTTATGTTTTTTAATACTTTTTTGTAGACGGAATGTTTTTTCACAGACATCGCACTTAAAAGGTTTCTCGCCGGTATGTATTCGTGTATGATTCTTGAGCTCAGATTGTTGAGTGAAGGTTTTTTTACAGATATCGCATTTAAACGGTTTCTCGCCGGTATGAATACGTGCATGGTACTTGAGAGTAAATTGTTGACTGAATGTTTTTTCACAGACAACGCAATTATAAGGTTTTTCACCAGTATGTATCCTTTCATGTTTTTTAAGACTTTGTTGTAGACTGAATGTTTTTTCACAGACATCGCATTTAAACGGTTTCTCGCCGGTATGTATACGAGCATGTATTTTAAGACTTTGTTGTAGACAGAATGTTTTTTCACAGACATTGCATTTAAACGGTTTTTTGCCGGTATGAATACGTGCATGTTTTTTGAGATTTGATGGTTGACAGAATGTTTTTTCACAGACATTGCAATTATAGGGTTTCTCACCGGTGTGTATACGAGCATGTGACTTGAGAGCAGATTGTTGACTGAATGTTTTTTCACAGACATCGCATTTAAACGGTTTCTCACCGGTATGAATACGTGCATGGTTCTTGAGATGAGTTTGTTGACTGAATGTTTTTTCACAGACAACGCATTTATAAGGTTTTTCACCAGTATGTATCCTTTCATGTATTTTAAGACTTTGTTGTAGACAGAATGTTTTTTCACAGACATTGCACTTAAAAGGTTTTTCGCCGGTATGTATCCGTGTATGATCCTTGAGAGCAGATTGTTGACTGAATGTTTTGTCACAGACAACGCATTTATAAGGTTTTTCACCAGTATGTATCCTTTCATGTATTTTAAGACTTTGTTGTAGACAGAATGTTTTTTCACAGACATTGCATTTATAGGGTTTTTCGCCGGTGTGTATGCGTTCATGAGTTTTGAGGTGAGATATCTGACTAAATCTTTTTTCACAAATATTGCATTTAAAGGGGTTCACTCCGGTATGAACGCGCCAATGTTGTCTAAGGTATGATTTTGATGAACAACTTTTCAAACAAATACCACAATTAAATAAGCCATCTTTGTTTCGAGTATACTCTTTGATTCTGCTGTTACGATGATTGACTTTATTTTTTTGAGGCGCTTTCTTTCTCACGGAAGTACTGGTATGCGATTTCGCAATATGCCGGATTATATTATTTTTGTCTGTAAACCTCCTTTGACATACATTGCAGTCGAACCGACGTAATTTGTATATATTTTTCTCAGAATTGTTTTTTATAGTTTCAATAAAACTACAATCCATATTTTTTGTATTATTCCAGGTATCGGTCGCTTTACACAAAATATGAATACTGCAACACATATGAAACAAAATAGATTAATTTAAGATTAAAATTTCTAACATTGAAAACGGATCTAAAACCTGTATATTTAGAGCAAAAATTAATAATAAAAATTTAAAAAAATAAAGGTCTTATCATAGACCAAAACAAAAAAAAAATTTTGAGGAGGTCAAGCCGATGACCGCGTGGTTTGACTCAAAATGCCCTATATATATATATATATATCTATAAACAATGCAAACATACGCTAACATAATGTGGTACCGCAGACATTGACCGGACATCATAACCACAAAGAAATAATTTTTTTTTTTTGTTATTTTGATTTAACATTATAATTGTGAAAAAAATTGTGTGTATTGTTAAATACATTATAATACTCATCAACTCACTAATTAACAAAATCCAAAAAAATACTCTACTGTATATTCAGGCTTTTATACATAAAAAGATCATTAAATAGGCCTGTTGTGTAAGCATAGAAGGTCTATTAGCTAAAAGAAGAGTAAAAATTTTTTTTGTTTTTTAAAAAAATTGAGGTCAGGCCGATGACTGCGTGGTTTGATTCAGAATGCCCTATATATATATAAAACAGTAAGTGTTGTGCGAATATACACTAACATAATGTGGTACCGCAGACACTGACTGGTCATCATACCCACAAATATATAATTTTTTTTTGGTATTTTGATTTAACATTATATTGATAAGAGTTAGATGAAGTTTAAATTAATTTATTAATTTATAAACAAGAGGTTTCTAATATAAGTTTTATGATAGCGAAACGCTAACATCGATACCAACGACGGGTTTAAAAAGGAGGTCAACATAATTACAAGTAGCTTTATATAGGATAAACATACCATAATGTAATATATTTCATTTTAAAAAATCTTACCATTTCTTTAAAAAATAAAACATAGAAGAAACGGCTTTTTAAACGACTCTCCCCTCTTAGTGTATAGTTTTTTTTATAATAGCGTGTATCTTAAACCCCAGAACTAATTATACTAATTTTTTTTTTACAACTGTTAATATGAAGATATGTATAGATGTATAGATATATATATATATATAACACGGTATGTCTCGTGCGAATGTACGCTATCATAATGTGGTATTACAGTGTGATTTAACGTTAGATTGATAAGATGAAGATGTAGTTTTAGAACAATCTATTATTATATGAACAAGTAGTTCCTAAAACAAGTTGAATAACAAAATGCTAACATCGATAAAAACAATGGGTGTATAGAAGAGGACAACATAATTACAAGTTAATAGTTTCATATAGGATAAAAAATAAATGGCAATAAAAATCGCCTTACTCATAACTATTGTCGACTTCATTCTTTACCAAATACTCCTCTGTTGTAGAAATTTCATTGTTTATTAACTGCACATCTAGCGGTTTAGGTTCAATGACTTCAAACAATTTTTCAAAGGAGTGATCTTCTGATTCGTCATTTTCTTGCTTCAAAGCTCTATAATTGAAATTTAACATCAGTAATAATTCTTTACATGTGTAGGATTATTAGGAAGACTTAACTACAATTTTAACGATTGTTTTTTAAATATTAAAAACTATTTGAATTTACCTTAATTAGATAAATAACACAAGCCTACAAGTATGACTTGTAGGTAAAAAGCTAACACAATAAAGATCAAAGCTAGGCGATAGCTCATTTGACCAACTAAATCCTTACTCATTGTATATATATATATAACTGAAATATTATTTACCAAACAATTATTTTAAAAGAGTATATAATTTACTGAAAATCTTAACTTATTGTTAACAAGTAAAATAATATCAAATGTAAAGAACTAGTGGATTAAGTTATTCAAGGAAAGCTTATATTTCTCTTTACTTTTTACAACGTCTTTATAGCATCAAAAACTACGACGGGTGTTTAGAACTGGACAACATAATTACAAGTTAATAGTTTCATTTAGGATAAAAAATAAATCGTAAAAATCGCCTTACCTATAAGTATTGTCGTCTTCATTCTTTACTAAATACTCCTCTGTTGTAGAAATTTCATTGTTTATGAACTGCACATCTAGCGGTTTAGGTTCAATGACTTCAGGCGTTTTTTCAAAAGAGTGTTCAGTTTCATCATTTTCATGTTTAATTTTTAACATATTATACTGCTTCAAAATTCTATAATTGACATTTAACATTAGTTAAATTTCTGTGCCATATATGCATCGAGGTTTAATAGGACAACTTCACTACACAATTATAACTATTTTATTGAGTAACAAATTAGGTAGGAATAATGATATAATAAAGAAAATTTTAGTTAACAATATTTGAAAAATAAAAGCCAAAAAAGTTTTGAGAGATATATTTTGTTTTTTTAAACTTTTAATCTTAGATTTTAATTTACTTAAATTAGACAAATAACACAAAACTACAAGTATGACTTGTAGGTAAGACGCTAACACGATAAAGATTAAAGCTGAACACCTATAGATGTTTATGATTCTATTTATTCACAAACAGTATGTTAAGTCAACAGGAGACAGAAAACACGGCAATAATAAAATTAAATTCAAAATACATAATAGTAGGTACTCACACAACGTAGAACTGTAAACCGGTGTTCAGGGCTGCTACTAAAAACTTAAAATGATTAACAAGCAAAACAAAACTCAATTGTAATGCAAATTGAAACGAAATAAAGAAACATGAGGCACTACGTTAAGTATTTATCACTGAATTCGACCAAGTTATTATGATAAAAAACTAGAAATTCTCACGAATTAGAGACGGAGCATCAATACCGAAAACAAATTATACCTATGTCCTATTGCAAAAATCTAAACTGACTATTTATAATTCACAAAAATTCAGAGTGTACAAAAAGAAATATAAATTATTAACAAAAACAAAACTTGTAAATTGTGATTTTAATGCAAAATGAATGACAACATAGAAATGTTCTAGACAGATTTGTGATAGCGTGTGTGGGTGATTATGATAACGAGTTATTGCCACAAATGGAGGTACTTTGCAGCGTGGAGGTAAACTGATGTGCGTTTTAGGCGGCAAAAAAATAAAAATCTCAACTCGTTTCAAAGCTTGTTGTAAACTTACCTTCATTGACATCCTATAACTTGTATTAATGCGTTTACCTAAGACTTTATCCGTTTTGGACACATCTTTCGCTAATTGTGTTAGAACACATAGGCCCCACACTAGTAAAATAATATTTAATATTATAATAACAAAAAAAATAGTTTATAAGAAAGCCAGTGATTTGACATTCCATGCCAAATTACCCGATGTGTGTGCAAGTGGATTTTTGAAATGCCTCAAACTTACATATTATGCTATGCAGATAGTTCCATAAAATCAGTAAGCTGAAGAAAAATATGTTTTAACATTTTTTTTGCCATATTTAATAATTTGATGTGAAAACACATTAAGTTCAAGATCACGTTACTTAATGAATTTTTAATTTATGTTTTAAAAAGTTATAGGTTCTTAAATATATCACTTTTTAGTGAAATTCCAAACTTTAAGGTTACATATAGATAAAAAAAAAAAAATGTTAAAAATAAGTCACGAATCAAACAAGTATATTATGATGGATCAGGAAAAAATGTTTAAATTTTGATTTTAAGTTAGAAACAACAATAAATGAAATTCATAAAACTTATACTTTGTTTTTTAATTTTTAAGTACTTAAAAACTTTTAACTTGTCCAGTTAAAAATAAATGTAATCATAATTGTTGAAATAATAATACATTTAATTATTATAAAAGAAACCTTCCAAATTTTACACATGCAATTTTATAAAGTATGTTTTTGTAAGATTTTAGTTTAAATTTATTTAAAAATTCAAAATAAAATGCATTATTATTTCGACAATATTATGATAACAATTAAATGATTTCTAATAAAATATAATTCTTCACTGTATTTATATCCGTTATTATCCAATAAATCATTTTTTTTGTTTTATTATATTTATTTTATCTGATAAATGAATGGTCGCATCGAATGGTACTACGAAAGTTAATAACATTATTATATTAAACATTTATCAATCAAACGGAAAGCCCAAAATGTTACAGACACAATTAATACGATCTTCGAAACAACTAGTTCTTATACATTTTAAATAACGCATCAGTTTGTTTAAAAATCAAAGATAACAATCAATTTAAATATTATAATGTATACATTTATAAAATATTAAAAGCTGTTGAATAGTTTTCCACTAGTTTTACTTCATACTTTTTACAAAATATTTTAATTCTATACTTATAAAATGTTTATTAATTTAACACATCATCCAATTTGTTTGGTTAAAAACCTAACATTTAAACTTCTTCCAAACAGCATATTTTAATAATTTAAATAAATTATCATCTTTTTTTTTTTTGTATGACAATCAGTATTTACTTATTATTTTTTTTAATAAACAATCCACCTCTGCTATATAATTCTACAAGATAGAAAATAATTTTAGTTCCAATAAAAGTATTTAAGATGTAATGACGAATTGAGATTTTATCCGATGGATACGATTCACTGGTATGCCAGATTTGCACAAATGTTATTTACAATCATAAGATGAAAAAAATAACTTTCTTTGCATCCTCCGGTTAACTTAAAACTGAACATAAAACATTAGAGGCGTTACACAGCTGGAACTGTACAATATAATGTTGAAATTTTAACACACAAGATTTAATAATTAAAAAATAACATTATATGGGTATATTTGTTTCTGTCAACTAACATAAATACTAAATACATACACATGTATTCTGGTGGTAATGATTGTACAATCTTAGGTAACTTAATTTAGCAGTAAAATTAAACTGCAAAATAATATAACACGTTAAGTACACTGTTTAATAATGTGTAAAACATATTGGTTTCACTTAATACCTTGTGATCAGTTAAACGATATTAATAATTTAAAAATTATAAGAAAACTAATACAAAGATATTCAATCTGAATAAAATCGTTAATAAAAAAAAATTGTAAAATAATTACAAGCTTTTGAAAAACTATTTTAAAACTGCTAAATTTTCCATACGTGAGGTTTATGATGTTATGAGCCATGAGCTTTTGCTTGATGTCTTTTGAGAGTATCTTGGCAACCATATGATTTATCACAGGCTGAGCATTTATATCATACCACACCAATATGTATCCGTGCATGTCTCTTGAGAGTAGATTGTTGACTGAATGTTTTTTCACAGACAACGCATTTATAAGGTTTTTCACCAGTATGTATCCTTTCATGTTTTTTAAGACTTTGTTGTAGACTGAATGCTTTTTCACAGACAACGCATTTATAAGGTTTTTCACCAGTATGTACCCTTTCATGTATTTTAAGACTTTGTTGTAGACTGAATGTTTTTTTACAGACATCGCACTTAAAAGGTTTCTCGCCGGTATGTATCCGTGTATGATTCTTGAGATCAGATTGTTGAATGAAGGTTTTTTTACAGATATCGCATTTAAACGGTTTTTTGCCGGTATGAATACGTGCATGTTTTTTGAGATGAGATGGTTGACAGAATGTTTTTTCACAGACATTGCAATTATAGGGTTTCTCACCGGTGTGTATACGAGCATGTGACTTGAGAGCAGATTGTTGACTGAATGTTTTTTCACAGACATCGCACTTAAAAGGTTTTTCGCCGGTATGTATCCGTGTATGATCCTTGAGAGCAGATTGTTGACTGAATGTTTTGTCACAGACAACGCATTTATAAGGTTTTTCACCAGTATGTATCCTTTCATGTATTTTAAGACTTTGTTGTAGACAGAATGTTTTTTCACAGACATTGCATTTATAGGGTTTTTCGCCGGTGTGTATGCGTTCATGAGTTTTGAGGTGAGATATCTGACTAAATCTTTTTTCACAAATATTGCATTTAAAGGGGTTCACTCCGGTATGAACGCGCCAATGTTGTCTAAGGTATGATTTTGATGAACAACTTTTCAAACAAATACCACAATTAAATAAGCCATCTTTGTTTCGAGTATACTCTTTGATTCTGCTGTTACGATGATTGACTTTATTTTTTTGAGGCGCTTTCTTTCTCACGGAAGTACTGGTATGCGATTTCGCAATATGCCGGATTATATTATTTTTGTCTGTAAACCTCCTTTGACATACATTGCAGTCGAACCGACGTAATTTGTATATATTTTTCTCAGAATTGTTTTTTATAGTTTCAATAAAACTACAATCCATAATTTTTGTATTATTCCAGGTATCGGTCGCTTTACACGAAATATGAATACTGCAACACATATGAAACAAAATAGATTAATTAAAGATTAAAATTTCAAACATTGAAAACGGATCTAAAACCTGTATATTTAGAGCAAAAATTAATAATAAAAATTTAAAAAAATAAAGGTCTTATCATAGACCAAAAGAAAAAAAAATTTTGAGGAGGTCAAGCCGATGACCGCGTGGTTTGACTCAAAATGCCCTATATATATATATATATCTATAAACAATGCAAACATACGCTAACATAATGTGGTACCGCAGACATTGACCGGACATCATAACCACAAAGAAATAATTTTTTTTTTTTGTTTTTTTGATTTAACATTATAATTGTGAAAAAAATTGTGTGTATTGTTAAATACATTATAATACTCATCAACTCACTAATTAACAAAATCCAAAATAATATTCTACTGTATATTCAGGCTTTTATACATAAAAAGATCATTAAATTGGCCTGTTGTGTAAGCATAGAAGGTCTATTAGCTAAAAGAAGAGTAAAAATTTTTTTTGTTTTTTAAAAAAATTGAGGTCAGGCCGATGACTGCGTGGTTTGATTCAGAATGCCCTATATATATATAAAACAGTAAGTGTTGTGCGAATATACACTAACATAATGTGGTACCGCAGACACTGACTGGTCATCATACCCACAAATATATAATTTTTTTTTTGGTATTTTGATTTAACATTATATTGATAAGAGTTAGATGAAGTTTAAATTAATTTATTACTATATAAACAAGAGGTTTCTAATATAAGTTTTATGATAGCGAAACGCTAACATCGATACCAACGACGGGTTTAAAAAGGAGGTCAACATAATTACAAGTAGCTTTATATAGGATAAACATACCATAATGTAATATATTTCATTTTAAAAAATCTTACCATTTCTTTAAAAAATAAAACATAGAAGAAACGGCTTTTTAAACGACTCTCCCCTCTTAGTGTATAGTTTTTTTTATAATAGCGTGTATCTTAAACCCCAGAACTAATTATACTAATTTTTTTTTTACAACTGTTAAAATGAAGATATGTATAGATGTATAGATATATATATATATAACACGGTATGTCTCGTGCGAATGTACGCTATCATAATGTGGTATTACAGTGTGATTTAACGTTAGATTGATAAGATGAAGATGTAGTTTTAGAACAATCTATTATTATATGAACAAGTAGTTCCTAAAACAAGTTGAATAACAAAATGCTAACATCGATAAAAACAATGGGTGTATAGAAGAGGACAACATAATTACAAGTTAATAGTTTCATATAGGATAAAAAATAAATGGCAATAAAAATCGCCTTACTCATAACTATTGTCGACTTCATTCTTTACCAAATACTCCTCTGTTGTAGAAATTTCATTGTTTATTAACTGCACATCTAGCGGTTTAGGTTCAATGACTTCAAACAATTTTTCAAAGGAGTGATCTTCTGATTCGTCATTTTCTTGCTTCAAAGCTCTATAATTAAAATTTAACATCTTATAATTCTTTACATGTGTGGGATTATTAGGAAGACTTAACTACGATTTTAACTATTGTTTTTTAAATATTAAAAACTATTTGAATTTACCTTAATTAGATAAATAACACAAGCCTACAAGTATGACTTGTAGGTAAAAAGCTAACACTATAAAGATCAAAGCTAAGCGATAGCCCATTTGACCAACTAAATCCTTACTCATTGTATATATATATATATATAACTGAAATTTTATTTACCAAACAATTATTTTAAAAGAGTATATAATTTACTAAAAATCTTAACTTATTGTTAACAAGTAAAATAATATCACATGTAAAGGGCTAGTGGATTAAGTTATTCAAGGAAAGTTTATATTTCTCTTTACTTTTTACAACGTCGTTATAACATCGATAACTACGACGGGTGTTTAGAACTGGACAACATAATTACAAGTTAATAGTTTCATTTAGGATAAAAAATAAATCGTAAAAATCGCCTTACCCATAAGTATTGTCGTCTTCATTCTTTACTAAATACTCCTCTGTTGTAGAAATTTCATTGTTTATGAACTGCACATCTAGCGGTTTAGGTTCAATGACTTCAGGCGTTTTTTCAAAAGAGTGTTCTTCTGTTCCATCATTTTTATGTTTAATTTTCAACATATTATACTGCTTCAAAATTCTATAATTGACATTTAACATTAGTTAAATTTCTGTGCCATATATGCATCGAGGTTTAATAGGACAACTTCACTACACAATTATAACTATTTTATTGAGTAACAAATTAGGTAGGAATAATGATATAATAAAGAAAATTTTAGTTAACAATATTTGAAAAATAAAAGCCAAAAAGTTTTGAGAGATATATTTTGTTTTTTTAAACTTTTAATCTTAGATTTCAATTTACTTAAATTAGACAAATAACACAAAACTACAAGTATGACTTGTAGGTAAGACGCTAACACGATAAAGATTAAAGCTGAACACCTATAGATGTTTATGATTCTATTTATTCACAAACAGTATGTTAAGTCAACAGGAGACAGAAAACACGGCAATAATGTAATTAAATTCAAAATACATAATAGTAGGTACTCACACAACGTAAAACTGTAAACGGGTGTTCAGGGCTGCTACTAAAAACTTAAAATAATTAACAAGCAAAACAAAACTCAATTGTAATGCAAATTGAAACGAAATAAAGAAACATGAGGCACTACGTTAGGTATTTATCACTGAATTCGACCAAGTTATTATGATTAAAAACTAGAAATTCTCATGAATCAGAGACGGGGCATCAATACCGAAAACAAGTTATACCTATGTCCTATTGCAAAAATCGAATCTAACTATTTATAATTCACAGAAATTCAGAGTGTACAAAAAGAAATATAAATTATTAACAAAAACAAAACTTGTAAATTGTGATTTTAATGCAAAATGAATGACAACATAGAAATGTTCTAGACAGATTTGTGATAGCGTGTGTTTGTGTGATAACGATTGATTGCCACAAATGGAGGTACTTCACAGCGTGGAGGTAAACTGCCGTGCGTTTTAGGCGGCAAAAAAATCAAAATCTCAACTCGTTTCAAAGCTTGTTGTAAACTTACCTTCATTGACATCCTATAACTTGTATTAATGCGTTTACCTAAGACTTTATCCGTTTCGCACACATCTTTCGCTAATTGTGTTAGAACACATAGGCCCCACACTAGTAAAATAATATTTAATATTATAATAACAAAAAAAATAGTTTATAAGAAAGCCAATGATTTGACATTCCATGCCAAATCACCCGATGTGGGTGCAAGTGGATTTTTGAAATGCCTCAAACTTACATATTATGCTATCCAGATAGTTCCATAAAATCAGTAAACTGAAGAAAAATATGTTTTAACATTTTTTTTGCCATATTTAACAATTTGATGTGAAAACACATTAAGTTCACGATCACGTTACTTAATGAATTTTTAATTTATGTTTTAAAAAGTTATAGGTTCTTAAATATATCACTTTTTAGTGAAATTCCATACTTTAAGGTTACATATAGATAAAAAAAAAAAAAATGTTAAAAATAAGTCACGAATCAAACAAGTATATTATGATGGATCAGGAAAAAATGTTAAATTTTGATTTTAAGTTAGAAACAACAATAAATGAAATTAATAAAACGTATAATTTGTTTTTTAATTTTTAAGTACTTAAAAACTTTTAACTTGTCCAAAAAATAAATGTAATCATAATTGTTGAAATAATAATACATTTTAATTATTATATAAGAAACCTTCCAAATTTTACACATGCAATTTTATAAAGTATGTTTTTGTAAGATTTTAGTTTAAATTTATTTAAAAATTCAAAATAAAATGCATTATTATTTCGACAATATTATGATAACAATTAAATGATTTCTAATAAAATATAATTCTTCACTGTATTTATATCCGTTATTATCCAATAAATCATTTTTTTGTTTTATTATATTTATTTTATCTGATAAATGAATGGTCGCATCGAATGGTACTACGAAAGTTAATAACATTATTATATTAAACATTTATCAATCAAACGGAAAGCCCAAAATGTTACAGACACAATTAATACGATCTTCGAAACAACTAGTTCTTATACATTTTAAATAACGCATCAGTTTGTTTAAAAATCAAAGATAACAATCAATTTAAATATTATAATGTATACATTTATAAAATATTAAAAGCTGTTGAATAGTTTTCCACTAGTTTTACTTCATACTTTTTACAAAATATTTTAATTCTATACTTATAAAATGTTTATTAATTTAACACATCATCCAATTTGTTTGGTTAAAAACCTAACATTTAAACTTCTTCCAAACAGCATATTTTAATTTAAATAAATTATCATCTTTTTTTTTTTTGTATGACAATCAGTATTTACTTATTATTTTTTTTAATAAACAATCCACCTCTGCTATATAATTCTACAAGATAGAAAATAATTTTAGTTCCAATAAAAGTATTTAAGATGTAATGACGAATTGAGATTTTATCCGATGGATACGATTCACTGGTATGCCAGATTTGCACAAATGTTATTTACTATCATAAGATGAAAAAAATAACTTTCTTTGCATCCTCCGGTTAACTTATAAATAAAACTGATTATAACAAATTAGAAGTGTTACACAGCTGCAGCTGTACAATATTATGTAGAAATTTTAACACTTAAGATTTAATAATTAAAAAATAACATGATAAGTGAATACCATATCATTTCAGAGTAACATTATTTATATCATCATATCATGGCAAAAATAATTTAATTGCTCTCTTTGTCAACCAGATGCTCTGTTTTTGTTCTGTGTCATATCTTTCACAATGAGGATCTCCTAAAGAATTACAAATACGAACAAATCATCAATAATGAAATGTGTATAATACTTTTAAAAACTAGTTTAATTCATTAATTATTAGTTATAAGTAAGTAGATCACTTAAGCATGTAAGAAAACTTAAAAAAATAAATCTATTAAACAGTAGTGTTCTGAACTTATTTTTAAATGTTTTATAGTTGTAAGCTGTAGAAAGTAAACTAAACATAATTATCTAAAAAAAAACTATAAAAAAAACTAATAAATACATACACATGTATTCTATTAGTAATGTTTGTACAATCTTAAGTTACTTAATTATAGAGTAACACTAAACTGCTAAATTATATAACAATTATATAATAATTATATATGGTCTGCAGAGAACAGCCCAAAATAATAAAAGAAGAAAGTTTTTATTTTCAAATAAAATTACATGACATACCTAAATCGATTATATTGTGTTAAATAATATTAATATTATTTATTAATGTATTCTGTTAGCAATGCTTGTACAATCTTAATTTACTCAATTTAACAGTACAATTAAACTGCCAAGTTATATAAAATGTTGAGTATACGCAAAACACGTATAAAACACATTGGTTTTACTAAATGTCTTTGTGCAAGTGTATAATTTAATGATCAGTTAAACAATAGTAGAAATTAAAAAATTATAAGAAAACTAATACAAAAACATTCAGTCTGAATTAAATCGTTCATATAAAAAAAAATGTAAAATAATTACAAATTTATTTTGAAAAACTATTCTAAAACAGCCAAATTGTCCATACGTGAGGTTCATGAGGTTATGAGCCATGTGCTTTTGCTTGATGCCTTTTAAGAGCATCTTGGAGGCTATATGATTTATCACAAGCTGAGCATTTGTGTCGTACCCCACCAATATGTATCCGTACATGTCTCTTGAGATCAGATTGTTGAATGAAGGTTTTTTTTACAAATATCGCATTTAAACGGTTTTTCGACGGTATGTGTGCGTTTATGAATTTTTAGGTGATGTTGTCTACGAAATGTTTTTTCATATATATCGCATTTAAAGGGTTTCTCTCCGGTATGTATACGTGCATGTCTCTTGAGATCAGACAGTTGAATGAATGTTTTTTCACAGACATTGCACTTAAATGGTTTCTCGCCGGTATGTATGCGTTCATGAGTTTCGAGGTGAGATATCTGACCAAATCTTTTTTCACAGATATTGCATTTAAAGGATTTCTCTCCGGTATTAGCGCGCCATTGTCTTCTCAGGTTTGATTTTGATAAAAAACTATTTTAACAAATACCACAATTAAATAAGCCATCTTTGTTTCGATTATGCCCTTTGACTCTGCTGTTACGTTGATTAACTTTATTTTTTTGAGGAGCTTTCGACCTGACGTATTTTGTATATATTTTTCTTAGAATGATTTTTTATAGTTTCAATAAAACTACAATCCATATTTTTTTTATTATTCCAGGTATCGGTCGCTTTACACGAAATATGAATACTTTTTCTTTTTATTAGCCTTTATTAATAACGTTAATAAATAATCAGAGATTATTGACTGGAGGTCACAGACATCGTATTTATGGGGTTTTCCTCCGGTACTAATAAAAAGATACATACCTGAGAAAAACCCCAAAAATGCAAGGTCTGTGAATACAATTTTTCTTCCTTTCTTTATTTTTTTAATTTTACTATGGAAAATGTATTTTTACTTAATTAGACATTTAAATGATGTAGACTATAAGTAATTTTTCTTTTTTTCCCTTTATGATTATGCTTCGACCTTTAGGCCATACATTTTTTTATCCTAATTAAAACTATTAACTTTATAATTATGTTTTCCTCCTCCTCTATAAACCTGTCGTTGCTATCGATGTAGCTTTCCATTACCTAACATTAAAATTATGTTAGGAACCACTTGTTCAAATAATTGTTTTTTTTTATTAGCCTTTTTAATAAAAAATATTTGACTCAACAATTAAGACAGTAATAATGAGTAAAATGTAAATGTATGGATACATTATTAGTAATAACATGATTTCAATGATAATTATAAAATGATAAAAAACAAACAAAAAGAAGAAAAACAACGAGTACATACAAAAAAACTAAATAAAATAATACTCAAAAGTAGATTTCGACATGTCAAAACCTGAGAAAAACAGCTCTTTAAAAGACTTTTCCCCCTTAATGTACAGTAATTTCATAATAGCATGTATCTTAAAATATAGTTTTTATAATAATAAATGACACTTTTTCACTTTTTTTCTATTTTAAAAAAGAATGAAAAAAAATTGTATTATATTTTCTAGCTATTTATATATATATATAACGCGGTAAGTGTCGTGCGAACGTACGATAACATAATGTGGCACTGCAGACATCATACCCACAAGTAGATGATTACAATATCATTTATTTTTTTTAAAATAGTATTTACCAAACAATTATTTTAAAAGAGTAATTCTACTGAAAATTTTAACTTATCGTTAACAAGTAAAATAACATGAAATATTTTTATAATATAAACTCTAATGTTTTATAATAGCCTAAAAACAATATGACTTCATATGTTTTCTTAAAGGATTGTTCTTCTTTTCATGTTTAATTTTTAACATATTATAACTCTTCAAAATTCTATATTTGACATTTAACATAAGTTGTACTTCTGTGCACCATTTTAATTATTTTTTTAGTGACAAATATAGTAGTAATAATAATATAATAAAGAAAATGTAGTCTACATTGCTTGAAAAATAATAACTAAGTTTTGAGTGATATATTGTGTTTTTTTTAATAATTTAAAACTACATATTAATTGACTTAAATCAGCTGAGTAACACAAAACTACAAGTATGACTTGTAGGTAAGAAGCTAAGACGATAATGATAAAGTTAGACGATAAACCGATTCCGTACCACTCGACTCAACTCTAATTAATAAAGAAGTTATAAACAAACACATATAGTTTATTACCATTCTGTGTATTCATAAGAAATACTCTTAGTCAATGGAAAACAGAAAACACAGCAATATTGTAAATAAATTAAAAATACAAAACAGTAGGTACTCACATACAAATTGTAGAATCGTACACAACAGAGAACTGTAAACACTGCTGTTCAGGCTACTACTAAAAACTTAATTAACAGGCAAGATAAAACACAATTGTAATGAAATAACGAAACACGACACAAACGTTAGGTATTTATCGCAGAATTCGACCAAGTTATAATGATGGAAATCTAGAGATGTTCACGAATCGGGCAACAATAAATATCAATTATATACAAACAAGATAATTAGTATTTATACATAATAGTTTGGAGGTTAGGTTCAGATGCGTTCCCTAACCACCAAAACGCTTTGTTATTTATTTAAATATCACTGCTCGTATATTTAACGTGTACAGCACAATATTATTAACAAATTAGGAACAAGATTACAAATAATTAACGAACAAGATTAAACACAAGTAAATAACAAA